ATAACTAGAGTTTTACAAATTAAAATGAACATTTTTGATGTCTTAAACCACATGTCAAAACTCAAGGCCTGGGGGGCAAATCCGGCCCGACGAAGCTTTTTATGTGGCCCTCCCCAGTGTAGACTAAACACTAAGTGTAATTAAATATTATATTATCAATCATATCAATGCAGTTTTTATTTATTTACTGCCAATTTACATCAATCAATCCCTCCTGTTTGTTGAGAATTTAGTTGATAGTTCATGATTTATACAGCGAGTAAATAAACAGTCACATTTATTATTAGTTCCTGAAGGGACTGAAAAGATCTTCAATATTATGTAATTTTAAGAATTTATTGACATATTGAGTTTCTGAACAGGTTTTATCAACACATTCTGGCACAACCGGCCCTTTAAGAGCCTTCATGATCTTGATTTGGCCCAAAACTTAATTGAGTTTGACACACCTGTCTTAACCTCATTTAGTAGAAAGGTGTGCACTGCTGTGAAACAGGACATTTGCTCAAAAGCTCTTTTGAAAAATGTTTTTATTCAAACGCTCCAAATAACTTGATATTAGCACATTGTTGGTCATTTTCCAGACACTTAATTCATAGTTGTAGGTACATGTCGCAAAATTTTTTTAAAATCCCAGCTATGTTTTAAACATGACATAAACATGCAAAAAAAAAATCATACAGCATACATAATTATATTATTTACAGTAAATTATTATTATAGGAAAATTAAATCAACTATTAATTTAACTATTGAGATAGTGTTCGAGGTCATCCTTTGATTTATTTCTCTCTCTTTTTTTTAACAACCTAAAACATGTTCCCCTTGCGTATTGACAAATAAAACTGTGTCTTCGCTCACATTTCCAAACAAACAAACAAAAACTCGACATAAAGCAAACACGGTCCTTCTAGATCCAGTCTCCGATGAAACGCTAAAGTTCACGTTCATCTTTTCCGAGTTCTCTTTTCCTTCGCAGCGGTTCCGTGGCTCTGCCTGTGCAGCGGCCGACGTCTGAACAGCTGCTTCAGAGCAGACCTAACAACAACAACAACAACAACAACAAGATCAAGACACCGAAGAAAGTTGTTTGTCTTTAGACACAAGCTGTGCAGAACTACAACCAGATATATGTTTGTTTGTTTTTTGTATTTTTAACAAATAACTTGGACTTACAGAGATGGCTTGCTGACTTTGGGCTTTTGGGTTTCCAGATCATCATCGCATTTGTCCTCTATCTTGTAGGGTTTGAGCTTGTCCCATATCTCGATGTCGACCCACAGACCCCCTGATTCAGTCACGTAGGCCTGGATGCAGGAGATCCAGCGGCACACAGGGCAGCGCACCAAGTAGATGCTTCCCTCCAGCTTGGCAATCCTCTGCAGGCACGGGCCGCAGAAGGTGTGGTTGCAGTGGAGCTGTCTGGGGATCCTAAAGTTCGAGTGTAGTCGTTTGTAGCAAATGATGCATTGAAGTTCCTCGTCGGACATGGTGTTTTCAGGAGGTAGGAAAGACATGAGGCCTGCAAAGGAAATAGAGGGGGGAAAAGGTTAGAGTTGACATGAAAAGCAAATATTTAGAACTGAGATACTGTTAACATAACAGCTATGCAAGAGACCGTGCAGTACTCACTTGTTCAGGTTCCTCTGCTGAGAGTTGAACTGCAGAATAATGACTGACTGACTGACACTGACTGGTTCTTAAACGACATGCGGCTGCCTGAAGAGGCGGCCGCATGACTTACCTTTCCAGAGAAGAGCCGCCCAGAGGTAAACATGCCTTCTATGGAAATTTCTGTTTACGAAAGGCTTCCGAGAAAGAAAACCTTTGTAGCTCAGTATAGATTCAGTCTGTGTTCATATATATTTTGATTTATTATATATATCTATGAGATTTGTATTAATCACCTGCATGGCAGGATATTTATTTGCATTTAGTGGATAATCACACGAGGTCGGTTGAAGTGAAATTGCTGTTTCAGTCAAGGTGAAGTGAGTGAATGCAAAACTCATGTAGCCTCTCTCTCTCTCTTTATATATATATTGTTGAAATAGAATTTTAAAGTAGCACAATAGTACACAATAGTATTTGTATCTAAGATAAACTTAGATACAAATCCAAACTAAGACAACTGGTGACTCTCTGAACTTACATAAATTTCTAATCAGAAAGCAGTCTTATACTCCCTAAGGAACATTTCAGACAGGGAGTGTATTGGCTATCAGAGCAATAAATTCTTTACTCAGGGTTGAATAGTTCAGGCAAACATTAAAAACTATAGAAGTCCGTTACAACATATAATCAAACATATTGGTATATTTCTTTAAGCATTAAAAAGCATGTTTTTAATTAGTTAGTTTTAGATCCAACTTATAGTTAGTATTAAGCAATATATTTTGTGCGAGTTTGTTTAAAAAAACACCAACTGGTTTCTTGTTGAAGCATTTTGAGGCAGAGATAACGTTCCAGACCCACGCCATAAATCAGATCACCTAAAGGAGGCTGGTATGAGAAGAGCTGGGTGTTTCAGTGGGTCTCAGAGGTAATAAAATTAACATTAAGACAGCCCACACAAAGGAAAACACACCTTCTAATGCATACATTTAAATGAGGAGAATACACATTCTTATAAAATGGTTTGTTTTGCAGCAGAAGTTCGAATCTCTTTGTGCTGAGTGAGAGTTTCCCAGAAGATGCATCTTTTGTCTTTTTACTCAGTTAATTGTTTCTGTTTTGTCATGTCTTGGACTTTTGATAATCTAGGTGAGATGCTTATTGTAACATTCTTCTTGCATTGATTTTCTCTGGATAAAACTCTGGATATCTGAAGTCTGACGTCGTATGATTGCTTTCTCACTGCACACGTATACAGACGCAAGAATCTAGAAAGAATCTAGGACAGAGGAATAAATTAACGAGCTAAATCAAGTTATTCCTCTTTTTAATTCTTAACTATATATATATATTCCAATCTATGTGAGAAAACTAAAATGGAGGGTGCAGGGTTCCATATAAATCCGGTACCCCAATTGTTGTGCAGCACCGATGACCTAATTTATGACAAATATGACCCAGAGAAAGATTAGAATTTGAGGCAAAATGGTTCAGCCTAACTTTATTAAACTAAAGAGACAGAAAACCTATTATTTGGTCACCACTGTAACTTTAGAGTTAAACGAGCCTTCAATAACATCTACAAAACACAAACCTCCTTACACAAGGCAAGAATAATACAACATTGATGTTCATCTTCTGGTTCCAATGAACCAGAACAACAACAACAGTGTCAAACAAATGTGACCCAGTTAGTTTGTGACTCCCGACCCCCAGGAGAGTGCAAACGTTGCAGGCCTGTTAAACAGCGAGGAGATGAAATCCCGACGGAAAAGCATTGAGAGCGCTGCAATCCACTCGACTCGTCCATTGAACAACACGAACACGTGGTGCTGAAGCGGCTAGCTCCCTTAGCTTAGCCGAACTTCGTCCGGACTACTCCCGTCTATCTCCTCTCGTTCCGACCCTCTCGCAGCGACCCAAGCCCCTCCAACTTCTTCCGAATTTCGTCCTCTCCGTTGTGTTTCTTCCCCGTTTTCTCTCCGCTCGAGTCTGTTTTTTTCTTCCCTTCTGGTCTGTTCGTCTCACCCTCCGTTCTTCACCATTCCGGTTCTCTTCTCCTTCTTTCTCCCGCCTCCCCTTCTCTCCACCAATCAGGAGTCACGCCCCTGACGGACTGTCTCAGTGACCAATCAAATGGCAAAGCCAAATAAAATACCCTTTATACTATAAAGGACATTTTAATCAAATATTAAAGTAGAATACTAACACTTTCAAAATAAGATTATGTAATCCCTAGTAATCACAAGGGTTATGATTAGTTTTAGACACAGATCAGATGTGTCTAAATCACACATCTGATTTAGACGGTCTGTATGTAAAGAACATGTTCAGTCAGGCAAAAACATTCACTTATTTTTTTTTAATCTTATGATCTAAAAAGGATCCAGCCTGGCATGACATTAAAGTTTGTCTGTTGATTAAATTTTTCGTGGTTTATAGTTTTTGTCTTTCAGGTCTGAGTTGGAGGCATCCTCATGAAAATCCCTGAGGGCTTCCCGTTCGTTTACATCTGGAATATTCTCTGGTACATGTCACAGTTTTCCACTGAGTCATTTTGAGTACGTGAGACTGGCTGCATCGCTGAAATTGTGTTGAACAACAGCAATTAAATGGAGTTAGAGCGTGAGACTGCTGGGTCTCAGAACCCAATAGAATAGAATAGAATCTGTTGTCTCTCAGTGACCGGACTCTGGAGCCACACGGACACAAAGACCACAACAAGAAAAACAGAAAGACGGTTACAACAGATACGGAAATGTCAAAAAAGCGGGTCACAAGGAGCAAATCCTGAACATTTTGTCAAAGCAAATAGTTCTTTAACTTAAAAATGACGTGTTTCTTTTTAACCATAAAATCTCTCCTGTCAAACACCAGTTAATGACTTGATTTGTGACAATCAGAGTCATTCATTCTGTTTTCCAGGAACCAGCAGCAGGAGGATCGTCTTGGCAGAAATTGTGTGTGAACTCAGGTGTTGGCATTCGCAGTGCAAAACCTGAACACTTCCAGAATCATTTTCATTCTGGAAGCATTTTCATGAGAAGTCTTCATTGCATCAGATTTCTCATGCAATAAATCACACATGCTCCTTTGTTACCTTCATGTGCAGACTGAATCTGTATTCTTGTGTAAGAGTTCACCCATCTACTTATCTGTATTTTGATATTAAATGCCTTACAAAGTCCACAAGAGGATTTTGAAAGAAAACATTGAAGGCTGCAGGTTTCTTACAAGGGATAATTGTGTTATGATGATGGATGGATAAGTTGTCACTTTAACTACATAACCAGAGTTTTTCAAATTTAAATGAACATTTTTGATGTCTTAAACTCATTTAGTAGAAAGGTGTTCTCTGCTGTGAAACAGGACATTTGCTCAAAAGCTCTTTTGAAAAATGTTTTTATTCAAACGCTCTAAATAACTTGATATTAGCACATTGTTGGTCATTTTCCAGACACTTAATTCACAGTCGTAGGTACATGTCGCAAAATTTTTTTAAAAAACTCACAGCTATGTTGTAAACATGACATAAAGATGCACAAATATATATAAATATATATAAAAACAAAAACCTCAGAATTCCTGATGCTACTAACATATATCCAGGAACAAATCAGCAACAATGATAAAAAAAACAAAATCATACAGCATACATGGTTATTATTAATATCATTATTATTTTCAGTAAATTACTTATTATTATAGGAAAGCTAAATAAACTATTTTTGCATCATCTGTGGAGATAGTGCTCGAGAACATCCTTTGATTTATTCTCTCTTTTTCTTAAATAAACTAAAACATTTTCCTTTTTGCCTTTCGACAAATAAAACTGTGTCTTCGCTCACATTTCCAAACAAACAAACAAACAAAAACTCGACATAAAGCAAACACGGTCCTTCTAGATCCAGTCTCCGATGAAACGCTAAAGTTCATGTTCATCTTTTCCGAGTTCTCTTTTCCTTCGCAGCGGTTCCGTGGCTCTGCCTGTGCAGCGGCCGACGTCTGAACAGCTGCTTCAGAGCAGACCTAACAACAACAACAACAACAACAACAAGATCAAGACACCGAAGAAAGATGTTTGTCTTTAGACACAAGCTGTGCAGAACTGCAACCAGATATATGTTTGTTTGTTTTTTGTATTTTTAACAAATAACTTGGACTTACAGAGATGGCTTGCTGACTTTGGGCTTTTGGGTTTCCAGATCATCATCGCATTTGTCCTCTATCTTGTAGGGTTTGAGCTTGTCCCATATCTCGATGTCGACCCACAGACCCCCTGAGACAGTCAGGTAGGCCTGGATGCAGGAGATCCAGCGGCACACAGGGCAGCGCACCAAATAGATGCTTCCCTCCAGCTTGGCAATCCTCTGCAGGCACGGGCCGCAGAAGGTGTGGTTGCAGTGGAGCTGTCTGGGGATCCTAAAGTTGCGAGTGTAGTCGTTGTAGCAAATGATGCATTGAAGTTCCTCGTCGGACATGGTGTTTTCAGGAGGTAGGAAAGACATGAGGCCTGCAAAGGAAATAGAGGGGGGAAAAGGTTAGAGTTGACATGAAAAGCAAATATTTAGAACTGAGATACTGTTAACATAACAGCTATGCAAGAGACCGTACAGTACTCACTTGTTCAGGTTCCTCTGCTGAGAGTTGAACTGCAGAATAATGACTGACTGACTGACACTGACTGGTTCTTAAAACGAAACTCTCCTCCCACTTACTGCCTGAAGAGGCGGCCGCATGACTTACCTTTCCAGAGAAGAGCCGCCCAGAGGTAAACATGCCTTCTATGGAAATTTCTGTTTACGAAAGGCTTCCGAGATCTACTGATAATACATACATTCCTGTTCAGCAGCTGTTAAAGTATGAATGAATTCTTCAAATTAAATAACAATATAGAACATCCTCTCAGTCCCTCCAGGATTTCATGAAACTTTTTGGGATTTAAAAAAAAAAAAGTCTGCGGCACTAATTTGGCAATATTTATTACTGAACAGTAAATGCAACCTTTTACTCCTTGCTTATAGTCCATGTATAGATCTTGGACTATAATTTGACATCAATTAAGGCTGAGGGAGCTGCTGCTTAGTAGAAGTAAGAAAGTTTTTGACAATTTTTGAGAAAAATCTACAATGAACCCCCAATTATAAGTGGAAAGGAGTGCGTGGATTTTATGAGTTTGCGCGAATTTCCATAATTCTCAAGAAACTGAAGGGACTGGTTTCTTGGGAGAGATAAAAACTGCATTGATTTGTTTGAAAACATAATATTGAGGCACAATTAGTGTTTAGTCTAGAATCTAGAGGACCAAATAAAAAAGGTGCTGTCTAAATCACACACTGCTGGGTCTCAAAATTCAATAGAATAGAATCTGTTGTCTCTCAGTGACTGGACACTGGAGCCACACGGACACAAAGACCACAACAAGAAAAACAGAAAGACGGTTACAACAGATACGGAAATGTCAAAAAAGCGGGTCACAAGGAGCAAATCCTGAATATTTTGTCAAAGCAAATAGTTCTTTAACTTAAAAATGACGTGTTTCTTTTTAACCATAAAATCTCTCCTGTCCAACACCAGTTAATGACTTGATTTGTGACAATCAGAGTCATTCATTCTGTTTTCCAGGAACCAGCAGCAGGAGGATCGTCTTGGCAGAAATTGTACGTGAACTCAGGTGTTGGCATTCGCAGTGCAAAACCTGAACGCTTCCAGAATAATTTTTATTCTGGAAGCATTTTCATGAGAAGTCTTCATTGCATCAGATTTCTCATGCAATAAATCACACATGCTCCTTTGTTACCTTCATGTGAGCTCTGTAAAGTTTTCAAGAGAATGAATGCTGCGGCTAGTTAGCATGGCCACCAATGAGAGCATTAAGTAATTTCTCTGCCACTAAAACATTTAGCAGCGTGTACACAAGATGAGTGACAGCACTAAGATCTTCCTGGTAGCATTGGGAAGATGTGGAGAAGCTTGATATTTTTCACAGATTATCTATAGTATACTGTCACATCATGGTCAAATATGTAAAGACATTTTTTTTCTTCCTTTTTGTAAAAGTTACATACCCCAGATTTAAAGAGTGGCTTTCACCCGTCTACATTATCATATACGATTGGTGGATTTCTGCGGAAAAAAAAAAAATCAAAAAATGCTGACAAACATTTTCCCCTCTCGTCATAACGAGTTAATTATAGAATTTTAGGAAAGACTAATATAACACAGAACGTGGGGAAAAAAATGAGTCAGAGTTTGCTTAATCAGAAAATGTCAGGTACTGCCAGCCACAGGATGGAGCTTTGCCAGGTGCACTTCATGAACGATTAAGGTGTATTAATACGTTTTTATATTCTGAGGTGTTTCACCTAAAATGTGTATAAATAGGGGGACAAAAAATAACCTTGATTGCAGCAATTTATTACAGGAGAACGATGAGATGCAACGGTATGAGACTACAGACAAAAAGCAGTTCAATTTGCACCTCTTGGTGAGAAACATTCTTTTTGCTCTGGCTGTAAACTCGTGCGCTTCAGTTGAAAAGCAGCAGCACATATTCACGGAGATACGTGAAGCATCAAGCTGTCGAGTCTCTTAAGATTCGACTTGATTTTCACTCGGATCTACGGAGGTTTCACTTTTCTGAAGTGAAACATCAGAAAAGTGATGAATCTGAATCTTCTCAAGTCACGACAGGTGAGGAGGTATTTTGCAAGGCGTAGTTTCCAGATGAGAGTTGCCTTTTTTCTGCGGAACAGGAAGTTTGCCTAAGGTAACAAAGAAGCTTCTGTGACACACGTTTATGGGCTTATCAAATATTTTTATTTGTAGAAAAAGAAAGCAGAGACCTTTGCATTTGTTTTCTAACCTGCAACTATTTGCTAAACACAGACATAGTTTGTGACAAAAGCAGATTCAAATGGAGATTGGTTAAATGCCCCAACAAGCAGGGTATTTATTTGCATTTACTATGAAAACATACAAGGTCACACAAGGTTAACTGAAGCATGGAAATTTGGCCATTTGCTGTATCACTACACAAATGCACTCCCATCATCAGCCTCCCCGCTCTTTGTTTGTGAAGGTGCAGAGAAAGAGAGAATCATCCGTTTTCCACTGAAGCATCAGATACGCAGTAGAACCATTTACTCTAAATTCAGGAGTTAATCATCAGCAAATAACGAGAGCCAGGGTCTTTGCCCGTGTTTCTACTGCGTGTTTTGCAAAACACAATCAGCTGGCAGTTTCTATAAATAAGACAACAAAAAAAGGGGGGGAGGGGAGGGAGGAAAGAAAAATTTGATTTAACAGAAATAAAAATGTTGGTTCCTTATTTGGACCTGGATAGACTGGCGCTATACTGGTCAGCTAAACCGATTTAAAAAAACAAAAGAAAAGAAAGTCTCCAATGTGTACCTTCCACTTGTGGCTCATGGGTTGAATAGGAAACTCTTACTGGCATTTGATGACATATCAAACCAAATCCGTGCTGCTTATGTAGAGATGGACATTTATTAAAACACCGTTTTCTTGTTAAAGTCTCAGTTCTGAACAGTGAAGGAGCCAATGGGATGTAAAAGCACTTACAGCTCCAGGAAAAAAAACGGTTTATGTGCAGATTTATCTCCAAAGTTTTGATACTCTGCATGTTTTTATACGTCATCAATCACAATAGAACTGGTTGGCCATCCATGTATCAATAGAATTCCTCTTGGATTTTTAGCATAAACTTTTGGTTAAGAAAATAATTTTAGCAGAAACAAACAAACAAAAAAGCAAAGTGACAGTAATGTGGTAATCCAAACCCATGCGAGGTTCCAGGCTAACAGGAGCTGTTAAAACTTCCCATCAAAGTTAACAGGCCAGGTTCGTTGGAAACGGCTTCCTTTTGCACACGCCCCACAAAGAGGTGAGCTGACATGTGATGACGTGACGTGTAAAGTTTCGTCTTCTCATGTATGGAAAGGAAAATGAAATCTGCTCTCTGTAAAGCGATAAACTTCGAGCCAACTTTAATCATTAAATTATGCCTTGTGGGGAACCTTAGCCCCACAAGGAGCTGCGAGGCAGGCAGAGGCAGCTCCTTTTCTGTGGAACATGGAAGCACGGACGGTTCAACCGATTAAAGACGATGCTTTTGATGCTTTTAAGTTCAGGTGAATCATCTTTTTTTCCCCCCAGACAGGCCATATGATTTAGGACAAAATCACTTCTTATTTTAAAGGTGGTGGGAGTTAAGATGGATTTTTTTGTCACAACCCATGAGCCAAGATTGTTCCCAGGAACTCTATTAAACCACTGAAGCACAAAGTGGATTGCAACCGTTTTAATAAAAACTTCTCCAACCCCGTCCACTTCCCAGTTCCTGCTCTCAGTCCAGCCATTCTGGGAGGGGTGGAGGGGGTGGAAAGGGGCTTTTGAGTTTGTTTCTGGTGAGGTCCATGGTGGCAGAAGTTGCTGTGGCGCGATTAGAACTCAGGACTGAGCGTCTCTCGTCCACGCATCGACTGTGTAAAGTTTAGTCATTTGGAGAAAGGTGGGCGCCTCCTTTCACTCCTGAGCTATGCTCCTCAGAACGTATTTGACTGTATAAGCGAACGCAGCGAAGCCTACAATCACAAACAGGTTGGCTAAAGCTCCTCCTAAGAGTCCATGGTTGCGATTTCCCTGCTGCAGGCCAGGGGCGGGGTTGGCGTCCCCTACAGGGACAGGCCCTCCGTTGAGGACCGGGAGGCCGTAATGAGCTTGCTGAGGGTCTCCATCAGGCACCACATCTGGTAAGGGGAGAGGCTGTGTGCGGGCGCTTAACTCCTCTTGGATCTTCTGTTTCTGCTTAATCTCCTAGAGGTAAAAAAAAAACAAAAAATTGGACAGAAGACGCAAGATTTTTGATTTTTTTAAGCAAAAGGAGAAAGAGCAAATCTGTAAGAAATCTCCTCATACTTACTTCTACCACATCAGGGAACAGCTCGCAGAACACTTTGTCTTTCAGGTTAAAAGCCAGGCTTTGGGCAGAGAGCTGTCTTTTCTAAAAAAAAAAAAAGAGAAAAAAAAAGGCAGCAACACAAGACATCAGATGTCTGGTTCAACGACGTCAATCTGCAGTTTCATTGTCATTGGTTCTGCTCACCGTGTAGTCAGACGTCTCAATACTGCCGAGTGTTGGTCCTTTTTCCACCATAAAACTGAGCAAACCCGTCAGAATCGTGCTGACAGACCACGCAGGGTTCCACGTATCAGGATGGAAGTCTGTGATGGACAAACATAACCTGTGCAAAAACGCAAACATTTAGCAAAAAGATCTTCCACAGCTATATCCTCACTGATTTTCCATCATATCATATTTTCTTTTTTTTTTTTTTTTTACCTCGTGTTACACTTGAACCTTCCGTTGGGAGTTATCATATAAATACTTGGAGGTTTAAAGGGAAATTCACGAGGAAATATGAGTTTTCCGTGATAATATCCTCCTACAAAAGACAAAAGAAGAGACTAGGTTACAGAAACTAAAGCATGAGTCAGGCTAAGGTGAACAAATACCACATGACAATTTAAATCATCACAGAGGTTTTGTAAAGATACATTACCTTCATATGGCGTTTTCTCAGGACCTCTGACTACATAGTGCCTGAGGGAAAATAAAAGACTTTTGTTACTCAAACTATTCCAGATTTCTGTAAGTTTCAGATTTATGGCCTGGAAACAGACCCAACTTTCCAAAGTGTTTTCTTGAAAAAAATAAAAACTTCTTTTTGATCCTTCATTTACAAGTATTCAATTACACAAACTGATGTGTTCACACCTTTATTTCTATTAAAGAAAGTTCAATTAGGTTGTGCTTCTGCAACGCATCAAAGAGCTTATTCAGGCTTCATATAGTTTCAAAAATATTTGTAAAAAAAAAAAAAGAAAGAAAAAACCCAACAGAAAACTTTTAAAATGATGACAGGATTTAATTTCAACTGAACTGTAAAGCTGACGGTGCACAAGCAAGGAAAGGTCAAGGAAGATGAAGAGAGAAATTCACTGTTAAAACGCTGCGGACACATGTAAAAACTTTACTGCAAGAAAACAAGACTGTAAAATCTCAACAGTAGCTCCTTCCTGATATTTGCCATCTGGTCCTCTTCAAATTGGACAACAACTTGCTGTTCCACGGAAAACAGGTTTTTGACATACCACTCTCACGTTACATAGCTAAACAAAAGAAAAGTACTCAGTTGTTGGTTTATTGAGAGCAACAAATCACGTGCCAGGACAAAAGTCAGGGCTGTCAGAGTTGAACTCTTGTCTTTTTCTAAGCTGACTTTGGGTTTTTAAATACGACACTATCTTTTCTTTCATTTCCAAGAACGAGATTTGACAAATACTGCAAATTACTTGTCAATTAAAAAAAAGGTGGATGTGTGTGACAATAAATGACTTACATTTTTCCCAAAAACTACAACAAGATTAACGGGACAAAACCATTTTAATATGAGAAAGCTAGAAACAGAATATTAACATTTTTTCATTTCTTACTCCTACATACATTTTTATTTAAAACCCAAAGTTGCTGCTGGTGAATTCTTGACCTAAGTATAACTGTATGACTCCCAATAGCACCAACTGGACAACACATCAAACCTGACATACTATCACAATGACGTCCTACAACAACCTTACTCGTGAGGTTTTGTTGAGAAATATTCTCCCTGAATCACTTAGCTTGTTGTTTGACCTATATTCCAACAAGGAACCAGAAACGTGCAAACAGTGACACATAATAAGTAGGATTAACATCCTATTTGTCATTAATAATCTGCTAACAAAAGCATGAGAAAGAACAAAACCAAATACTCATCTGTCACTAACACTGGAACTCCCCATTTTCAGCAATCGCTCTCCATAGCAGAAAACAAATAAAATACTTCAATATCAACAGATACTGAAGATACCAATAGGAATGTGTGCGTCTTTCCTGAGGACAATTACAGCATGTGTTTAGTTTTCTGACAACATTCGGAATTACAGCTCGAGCATCAGTTGCTGTAACTTGTATTTGAAGTTTTGGGAGAAAAAGTCAAGGGGCCATGTGTAAATACAGTCCATCTAGATGTGGCGTTTACAATCTGTTGGTCCAATTCAGAGCGAGGCTCTTACGTATGACCTTGACTACGTTTACCAAAATTGATATAAGTTTATACATTTAAATTACTGTGAAGTAATTTAAAAACAAACAAAAATACTAGTAAATGCATTTTCCCCATCAAGGCACAATCTTTGGTAGTTTTCTTTTTTAAACTGCAAAAAAAAAACAAATAATAAAAAATAAATAAACAATAGAACTATCATTCTTTAATTTCACATTTTCACAATGGCTAGTAATAAATCTTGAGAAAATATATTTTCTAAAGGTTAACCAAGTTTGGGAGTACTACACTCTCAAACTGAAAGCTGAAAAACAGCACAAAAATGGCTGTTTGATGTCTAAAGGTTGCTGACCAGTGATCTAGACTCAAAATGTAAACATTTCCTACAAATTTGTGTTTCAAAAATAGGAGCCGCTTTGTACAAGTGAAACATGAAGCAAACGTCCCATGAAAGCACAACCAGGTCCTGACAGACGTTGAAAACAAGTGTGTGTGTGTTACCTCAAATATGCCAATTATAACTTCTGGCTGAATCGTATTTTATTCATGAGATGGAATCAGTCATAACCATGCTTCTGTGATGTCTTTATAACATCTGATCAACGTTGTGCAAACACAACCTTGATCAATAATTAAACTTTTGACTACTACCAAGTTATCTTCTCCTGGCTTCATCCTAGAAAATAAGTTTATAGTTTTACATATCAGTTTATAAATGTGCCAACAGCTCTTTTATTACATTTAAATGTGTATTTCAATTGAGTTCTGAAGAACATTAAAGTTAACGTGGACAAAGTCTTAAATTCAGAAAGGAACCATCCATATATACTTGTAATGACATGAATTACACCATGTTCCAAATTATTATGAAGTGATATTTTCTCTAAATGGTCAATGCAAATGATGGTCAGTATAATTTTCAAGTCATGAACTGTTACAGTATATACAAATTAGAACAGTATATATATATTTTTTCAGAAATAAAAAACTCAAAATGCACTGGTCCAAATTATTATGCACAGCAGATTTTCCAAACATTTTATGGATTATAAAGAACTGCAAACGGTCATTCTTTGAATGTACAGCATTAAGTGGTCACATGTACTAAAATCAAAACTATTTCAATCAAAGACATCTTAACAGACCGAGTTACATGTTAACATAGAACCCCTTCTTTGATATCACCTGCACAATTCTTGCATCCATTGAACTTGTGAGTTTGTGGATAGTTTCTGCTGCAATTTCTTTGCAGGATATCAAAAAACCTCCCCAGAGCTGCTGTTTTGATATGAACTGCATTCCACCCTCAGATCTTCTGCTTGAGGAAACTCCAAAGGTTCTCAATAGAAACTCGCACCATGAATTTCTCCCCTTTTATGTCCATGGCAGCCAATGACACAGTGGTATTCCTTGCAGTATGAGTTGGCACATTGTCATGCATGAAGATGATTTTGCTACTGAAGGTACAGCTCTGCTTTTTGAACCATGAAAGAAAATGATCAGTCAGATCACTTTCTTTCCTGTTGGGATGTGGTGGCCACCACCAATCCACTGCTGCGTCCATCTGGACCATTCAGGGTTGCACAGCAGTCATTAGTGACCAAGTATGTTTGAAAATGTATCTTCATGTACGGCAGGACAAACTGCAACTGTTTCTGCTTGTGAGCTGGTTATCGGGGCCGAATAGAAGGTTCATGCACCACAAGCCTCTCGAGGATCCTGCACCTTGAGGATCCAGAGGCACCAGCAGCTTCAAATAACTGTTTGCTGCTTTATAAGGACATTTTAACAGCTACTATCTTAATCCAATGAATTTGTCTAACAGAAACCTTCCTCATTATGCCTTTATCTGTACAAACCCATCTTTGTTCTGAATCAGCCACAAATCTCTTCACAGTACAATAACATTTTGGTTTCCGTTGAATATCTAATGTTTTCATATGGCGCTACACTATCTGATGATTTTCGTCAGCAGAGAGATCCTTTCTCTTTCCCGTACTGCTTGAAACCTACGGCCAGCTTAATAATATGGAACATTCTTATTAAGTAGTTTTCTTTTAATTGAGCTCAGACAAACCAGCTCTCTGAAATTAATTATAGTGATTCAAAGAGCCCTGACACACAATACCATCTATAAATTTAATAGCACCATAAAAAATTTAATCTGTATGACACTAATCCAATTTGCATAATAATTTGGAACACAGTGTACGATAGAGAAAAAAAACTTAATTATTTTAATTTGCAAACACGCACTATTGACCAGTAAGTGCATTTCAAGTGATAATAAAGTCAAGGAAACAAACCTGTTACAGTGACAACATGACCCTCACTGCCAGACCACAGCAAAGAATCCATTTCATCAGGGACTTTAAACAGGCTTATATTAGTTGTGCTAATAATGACATCCAGCTGACTGGACAGAACTGTTGATCTCAAGTAAATTGTACCATGTGCAAATCTGTTTATATACACATTAGTTCCCCAACAACTTCTGAAGAAATATGTTTAAAAAAATAAAATAAAAACATCTTTTGCAGCCTTCTGCTCTTTCAGCCCAGCACTTGTCAGCACTGTGGATGGAAGAAATCTCACCATTCTAAGATGTTGGAGGGGAGAGGTTCTGCACAGATGTAAGGCACTGGGTCTTTCTTTATCCTGAGGTAATCCTGCTTAAGTCGCTGTGTGGCTGTCGTTGGAGCTCTCTTATTCCCGGTGTTGTTCATCTGAGATCGGGGAAGAAAAAAAAAAAAACTGAGAATGAAAAATTTACAACTTACTCTCGCTGATGTGCAAATTAGCTTAACAATAAATTTCAAACTCTTTTCTGTGTTTAAGTAACATTTTTGATAGCTTTTTTAAATTTACTATATAAAAATAAAACCAAAAGATGAATTACAATGACAAATCAGAGACCGGATAAAACCAACATCGACGTCATAATAACAACAGAAATAAGCAGAAAACCAATGTTCTTGTTTAGTGCACTTAAAAAAGAAAAACAAAAAAAGGTTACAAATTTCTTCCAGGTCATTTATTGAGTGAAATCTTGTCCGAACTACATTCCTGAAATAGCTGCATGGACAAATGGATCCGAGTCCAGCACAGAGATTATATGTTGTATAACACGATACGCTGAGACAGGTAATCTGAAAGAAGTGGACTTCACTGTAGAGTGTGCCATCTGAGTGGAAAACATTACTACAGCAAAAACAAACTCCAACATCCCAGTTTAAACAACATGTTATGTCATCAGAAGTTGAACCGAGTTCAGTCATGTGATTGGTTGAGGCTTAGACTTTCACTACATCTTAAAGTTACCTTTACATGCAGATATAAATACATGCCACTTTATAGTTGGCATGCATTTATATCAAAGATAAGCCTTATAATGAAAGTTTATAATTTGGTGATGCATATTAGTATGAGTCTATTAACTTGGCAAAGACAAATTCAAAGAGTGGAAGGCTTGATGAGATATAGAACTTGCTGTAATAACACAGCTTTACTCTGATCTGATAAAGAATGATTATGTAAACGCTCACCTTCCGTGCAAGATATTAAAACTGTGACTTTCACATTAACAGTGCTTGATAATTATTATTTCCACAAGCTGGCCAAATTATACTTTACTGAGAGCAATGGTAGCAGTAACTAGTCCAATACTAATTCAAGGACAGCATCAAAAAGTGAATTGTGTATGCAATTTTAATTCTTATGTAACAATTAAAATTAACTTCAAAACAAATACACTTGCACTCTGTAGAGAACAACTGTATTTCATTTTGACATTTTAGGGCCACAAAATATTGAAAACAGTTGTTGCAATTTTACTGCTGAATATTGAAAACAGATGTTGAATTTCAACTATATAAATTTGGGGATAACATGAAGTGAAAGTCCACCCAAATGACTAAAATGCTGAATATCATTAGCATGGAGGCAGTACTTGTTTTATTGCAAAAATCGACACTGCAGGACAAAACTGAAATATTGTGCAGTCTTGTTTGCAAGGCATTGTGACCTTTGTTTTCCAGTAAACTAGTTGCTGAGAGCTTGAAATAAAAAAAAAATGGACTGGAAGATGACATATTTTAGATAGCTGGACAATGTAATTAATGATAACCTTAAGAACAACTATCAGATATTATGCAATTTCATAACAGCCTTCCATTCCCATAAAGCAAATATGAAACTAAGTATTGCTGTTCCATCACATGACTACATTCGAAATGTACTTCCCAACCGCTCACGTATTAGCCGTTCAAGTGGAAATGAGAAATGTGCCCTCCTACCCACTGACCTACTATAGTGGCCAAACAGCAAACTAATAATAATGAGACATAAGTGGACTGCAACAGTGTGTAAAGTATGACGAGAACATTTCCTGACAAACAGGACCTTCTTAACTCAACTTACTTAGCTAGTGCTAATCCGCTAGTTGACGTGCTAAGTTAATGTTAAAACACCGACAGATCAATGTGGAGCAGCTGTTTCATCGCGAACTGTAACACATTTCATTTACAAACCACAGAAATATACCAGAATGTGTTGACAACTCGTGAAATCACACTGTATATACAGTGTGTTACAGCTGGTGAACTTCTCCCGGCACCAGCCTCCAGCTAGCAAGCACAGCCGTTAAAAAGCTGTTTCCAGTAGCGTAACGCTAACGGCTAACGAAGGCCGTTGCTACCTAGCTTTAGCTCTCAGCTGTCATTAACAGCTCCCACACAGACGACCTGCCTCAACGTCTCTCATTTCTTTCCCTGCCAGTGGGTGTGTAATGTCGACATACCTCTTCAGGGACTCCAATGAGAATATTTGTTCGTGGCTGGGCACGAAATTAAGACTGTGGTTTTTGTTGTCAAGCCTCCACACCGAGAAGACGATGACACCAACGTAGCTTTAGCTAACGTCACCAGCGAGAACAGTTGCACTTCCGGTTTCTTTCTTCATGGACAGCTCGCTGAGAGGCTCTTTAGTGTCCCCAGCTGATGTGGAATAACCCGCCATTTAATCGTTTTTAAAAGCGTACAAAATGTGGCTGGTGAATAAAAACTATTTATTTCAGGGAATTACCATTAAACATTGCAACTTGTCTGATTTCAACATTGTTTACCTCATCAAACAGCTGACAGGCGTCGCAGACAACTTTTAAGAAGGTTCTTTATTTACCGAATTTAAACTTAAAACAGACTGCACAAAATATTCACACAAACCTTGAAATTTGCTTCTTTGTTTATTTAATTTCTACTCTGAGATGCATAATCATCATGGAGTGCGAATAAACCAGCAAAACCATTTCTGAATGCTCTTTAAGCTTTCTTTTATTTTTAGACACCAACAAAAGATGATTTAATGGTCAGATTCTGGTTATGACTGGGATCAAGAGAAGATCTAAAATTTCAAAGAAAAAAAAGAAAAAAGTTTAGATGGCTGCAGGCTCAAGTTTTAAATTTTTTATTTATAATGGTCACTTTATATCCAAGTTGATCTGACTATTTTTTTGGGGGGAGAAAAAGATGCTTAAGCAACATGCAGCCAACAAACCAGCAAATTTAAGAACACTTCATGCTTTGGATATGTTGTTTTCATTTTCCAGGAGGAATGGACATCTACCTACATTGGTAAATACACTAAAAGCTGGTTCAGTGGTGTAACTGATTGGTCAGCAAAATCACCCAATTTAAAGACCAGAGAGAGTTGATAAAGACTTGCACAAAGGAAGATGAGAAACGCCAGACCCAACAATGCAGATTGTTTGAAGGCCATTATTAAATCAACCTGGCATCAGCAGAGACACAAGCTGATATAGACAAACTTTTCAGTCGACTCACACTTAAACAGCTGTTTTTTCATTTTGTGATTTTATTCTATTCAACAGAGAAACTGAATTCTGGGTTTCATTATCTGTAAGCCATCATCATCATAATCTCTCCATTTTTCTATAACTGAAATAAATAAACTTTTTAGCATCATTCCAATTCCTTGGCATAGACTTGAGATTTTGGCGTGACCAACAACCAAACTTAATCTCATCGAGAAAAAATGCAAAGCTGAAACATCATGGCATCCTTCACCGTTGTTTTTCTTTGAAGTACGAGACAGTGTCACGTTTGAGCACAAACTTAACTTATTGCTGATAACAAAAGAAAAAAAATCCCCAGCCATTTCATTAGTGTGCTAATTAATTTGCAAAACAGAGAAAAAAACAAATTAATAAATTAATATAGGAAGTGAGATGCCAAAGATTAGAGATGCACTTCCATATACTGAGAGTGCAGAATACAATGCAGAAGCTAAGATTTATTGCCTCTTGAGTCCTTTAAATATTTAGCAATCTATGATGAGCTATCTTACTAGAAAAGCAGGAGTCAAGGAATGAAGGTTAAGCCTTTCCAGCAGTTTAAGTAATAAAACATGCAGTAATCATATTATAGTCCAGCACAGAGATTATAACTGCTTCTATTATAACACATATGAACTAAAGAACGGGCAACGAAGAGGTGGTCTGTCGGTCATTACGGCTTCTGACAAAGGCTGAATTGTATGCTTCTTCTCCTCAGCTTCTCGGGCTGGAGAGACGCAAGGACAGAAAACTCGCGAAAGACATCAGCGCTGGAGATGTCACCTGTAAAAGGAATATTGAGATCAATGCGACACCATGGAGACCTAAACACACTTTTTTAATCTTCTCCATGGATGTTTCAAAGGCCATAAACCCAGCAACTAATAGGTTAACCTCTTTTCAAAATTCAAGAGGAAATTCCCCAAAGCATTTACGACCACCGAAAGAGAAAAACCCACAGAGCATAATGAAGTGAAGTTTGCCTTCCTTCTTACATACAAGTTTCATGTTTTAGCAAATGTAGAGCTACAGCGAAACGAGCACTTAGTTACTCTTATGCTTCTTTTATAGTGCAATGCAAAATTCATGGAGCTTTTTTCACATCTTGTCACATTTCAACAACAAACTATGTATTTGTAAAGTGTAAGTAAAAGGCCACTTTGATTTACACAGAAAAAAAAAATCCAAATCTGGGAATGACTCAGAGTAGCTGGTCCTTTCCATAGGTAATTGTGCAATCAGTTCCCTTCAAAAATGAGGAAAAGAGTCCTTTTTGTAAAAATAATATCAGTTGAAAAAAAGCCCAGATGAGCCCATATGTCATCCATAAAACATGGTAGTAGCACCATCATGCTGCAGGGATCCAGTTCTTTGGCATGTAATGGGAAATTGGTCAGAGTTGGTAAGAAGATTCATTTTGCTAAAAAAAAAAGAATAGCAATTGTTAAAGGACAACTGTTTAAATGCTGCAAAAGAAGCCAATGCCCATCTAAAATAACCTACCAACATTTGTGGGTGTAATCTGATAAAATGTGAAAATGTCTGCAGAACACTTATGGATTTGTAAAGCACTCCAAAGACTTCATAAAGAAATGTTCAGGTAAAGGAGCCGCAAACCAAGGGATCTGAAGAATCACCCCGCAATCACCAGATCAGAAAGATAAGATCCCACTCATCCTCAGACGGCCCAGATTGCTTCACTCACTTTATCCCGAACATCCTTGTGTTTATCTTTCCTGCTGCCTGTGGAAACCCCTGTGGCAACAGAAGCAATGACACGTCAGTCCTGGGTTATTTCCACACATATACGTGTTACATTTTTGGTGTAAGATGAAATATTAGTCATTCATGACATATATTTTTCAGTTATGTGCATGGCGCTAAATAGAGCCTATTACTGTATTACTGTAAATAATTAAAGGAAATTAAGAACATTTTAAACTGAAAAAAAATAAAAATTAGAATCAGTGTTGAGATTTGGTCTTCAAATGTGCAAAAACAAATTAAAAAGTATGAAGTGATGCTCAAGTTTCTTTCAGTTTCAAACAAACATAAAATTCACCAAGCAGCAACAACAACAACAAATCTTATTTTATTTAAACTGGGGTAAACTTTAGCTGCATTTCGTTCCATTTTAAAATTTGTTGTGTTTTCAGAGTTCAGATAAAAACTTGACGTTCATCTTTAGTTTTTCAAGTTGAATTTTTTTTTCCCCAAATAAAAATACTTTATAGTCTTTTCTTAGTTTGAAATGTACTTGTTATGCATGAAAGTATATTTTCCTGGTAGCAATTGTGGGGTGAGTTTTCACAGTTTAGTGGGATTTTTGTTTCTTTGAATAAGTCAAGATATGTAAACAATTTACCGTAATAATAATAATAAAAAAAAAACAACACTCACACTCAGGCAAGGTCTGATTGACAAAAACATTTTCCCAACATCTTTAATCGCTGAGAAATGGTACCAAGTTATAAACTGCAATTCCAACCACAATATTTATGAAATTGTCATGTTGGGAGGATGTTGCGAAACAACAATGGGAGCAAGAAGCAGGAAGCATGGGTTAGTTTCTCAGGGATTTCAGGTTTATTTGCATTGTTTTTTCCCCCCTTAGTGCTTCTAAAGACAAGAAGTGTTCCTAAAATATTCAAATATGAGGAACCAGAAGAATGCCTCCAAGTACTTTAGAAGTGATTTTCGTCTGACGTGTCTTTTTTTATACACAATACAAAGACAAACATAAAACATCATCAGTTAATCAGATTCTGAGTTAGAATGCTGAGAGGCAGCCAGATGGCATCAAGAAAAATACACACCCAAACTATTTACAGTACATTTCCTTTCGACAGTACCTTGAACCACTCTTAAGTCAATACACACAAATATACACAAAACATTTAATTATTCCTTGAAGGCGGCGGTGGCCCTTGACAGTTTGGTCACAGCAGGTCCACAACGCCCATTAAGCCTGGTTCTACTCAAAGTATACTCAACTATTGCATCTATCAGGACTTCTCTGGAACCTCGTTCAGAGGACACCAACAGTGTTATCTACCTCTCTGCTGCTTCACAGAGCAAGGCAGGACTATTCTGTATCTACACGTTCCCTTTATAAAAAGTCTTTGGCAGAGGAAAATAAAAGCACAGCTGTAGAAAATAGAGAAAGAAACAACTGTGATACAGATACAGAGACCACAGCCTCAAAGCTGTGGATGGAGGAATGGCACAGATGTGCAGAAATGACACCAGAGACCAGCGGGCTCTCACGGTGGTACATGCTCGTTCCACAGGACTGCACCCTACAAAGTCATCAAATTATCAAAAGAAAATTTGTTCATCATGCATTAGAATGCAAACGATGCTGAGCTCCCCAAAATAGTAATTCTGGCAAAAGCATACATAGAATATCATAAATACTGACCAGACACACAGATCCTTTGACCACACAAGGTGCTCTGTTATCCCCTCACATAGGTTAATATTCATAAGTATTTACAGGAAGTTGGAGGTCCTTTCATATACAGTCTCTCGAGTCACTCGTCTTCAATACATGGTATCAAACAGAAGAAGGTGAAATGGAAATGGAAGTGAAGATGCAGTGTTCTGCAACAGTATTTATACATGTTAAACTCTTTCATTGTTTGAGACAAACCAACACAAGGCAGCGTGTGTCTGGGAATTGGATGGAAAAGAATGACTAACTTTTTTCTTGCGCATAAAAATCAGAAAAGAGTGGGGGACATTTGTATTCAGCCCCATTGAATGAAATCCAAGAAACCAATTTTCTTCAGAAGTCATCTAATTTGTGCTGTAAATACACCAGCAAGTCCTTTATTCTCACTCTGAATACTAAGGTGTTCTTTGAAAGAGCTCCACAGCTCTAGTTGCAGAATCTGACATATAACTTGTCCACTCTACAAATCTTGAAAAATGCCACCAAAGAATCCCAAGCCAAATGATGCCCTAACTTCTGTTTCCCCACACACCATAGTGAATATGGGAGATTCAGCAAAATTGTGGAAGATGGTGCAAAATGGAGTCCAAATTAGAGCCCTGCACACTGCGCCAAGCACTAAAAACCACCATGAATCCACCAATTCTACTACATGGTGATGGCAGCATTGTCCTGTGGCCATAAGTTTTTTTTTTTTTTTTTTCAGCAGGGACATGGAAGCTAGTCAGAGTCAATGGGACGATAGAAGGAGCTAAATACAAGGCGATCTTGGAAGGAAAAATGTTTCAGGCCGTAAAGAATTAAAACTGGAGGACGTTCATCTTCCTTAAACATGTAGCCAGAGCTACAATGTGGAGGTTTTAAAAATGTATAGTCATGAGTTGCCAAGGTCATATCTGATAGGGGAATCTAAAGTAAGACTTGAAAACTGATGTTCACAGACTAAGTTTGAGCTGTTTTGGAAAGTTGGTAAAAACATAAAACCGAAGATGTAACTGCAGTGAAAGGAAGTTTTGCAAAGTATTGAGCTAAAGCTGAATTCAACTGCATGCTACATCTTTAATATTTTTATTTGTGACAAAAAACAAAACAACAACAACAACAAAAAAAACACTTGATGTGTCATTTTCCTTCCCTTCCCAAACATGTGAGATGTTTTGTTTTGATCTAGCACATAAAATCCTGATCAAGTAGTTTGATGTTCGTTGTTGTAACGTCACAGCGCAAGAAAGAGGTCGGGGAGTATAACTGCTTTTGCATGGTGCTGTGCAAGTGCACTGTAAGCTTCCTGCTCTGGTTTGTTGGCTCATGTACGTTACAAGTCAGCAAATTAATGGCTGAAGTTTCATAGTTTACTCAGTCAAACAGAATTTCAATGCAAAAGCTTGTGCAATTTAGCGAAAAAGCATCGTGTCCAAGATACCAATAAGTTTTAAGAAACTGCAAATTAAGGCTATTCCCTATCTTCTCCCATAAGTTCTGAACTTTGGGATTAAAATGACAATCATTACATATATGCAGAGAGGAACTGCATTCCAGGATGAATTGCACTGGTTCTCTGGTATGATAAATAGTAATAATAAAAAAAAAAAACACTCACATAGACATAATCTAGACATGAACAAAGTAAAACAAACAAAAAATAATAATACTTTATTATGGGAAAAGTGCACAGTTTCTTTTTTCTTTTCTTTTAATAATATATAACAAAAAAAAAAAACATTTAACTCTTGCTCTCCTGTTCACTCACTCATCATATCATATCGCATCACATCGTGGACTCTTCTCCACAAGCTCTTCAGTATCTTTTTTTTTTGTCACAGTAAACTACCCTACCACCTCCAATGTAGCTTCTCAATTGTTATTTTTCTTTTTTTAGTAGTTGAACAGATACCATTTGTAACCTCATGCCACAGTACACAGTTTCTAGTCCTCTAAATACGATTATAGTCACATCTCTGTTAAAGAAGAATGGGATGCCACGCAGATGGTCTGTTTAGATAGAGAATGCGGAAGATTAACACAGCTAGATCCCCCAGAGGTAAGGGCCAGAAATCAACTCAAAGCGCGAAGCGTTCGGTGAACTTAGAAGATTAACCCTGTTAGTACAATGCCAAAAAGCAGAAGTTAGTTTAAGTGTAGTGTGGTCAGCAACAGCATGAGTGGTGCCAAGAAGTAACAAGCACAGACTTAGCAGTGAGGCAGGAAAACGGAGGTGGCGACTATGTAGTCAGTAGAGTTAGACAGCTCCATCAGGGGTCCCGCCCACTTAGTCACCCCGTTGGCAAGAAGTTGCCTGTAAGATCTAGGTCTACAGTTGACTTGTGATCAATGTCTAGGGGCAAGTTCAACCCAATCAGCTCTCAGTCTGGATGAAAAAAAAAAAAAGAGTTTATGCTCCTGGAAAAGGAGGGGACCACTAGCTCTCCTCTATGTTGAGGCAGATGAATTCCTGGATGCACTTCCTATACTGCTGCTCAGTGGGGCTGCTGCTTGGATATTGACCTGGTTGACCCAGTGGAGCCTCCGCCTCGCGCATCTCCTCGTTCATCCGCGCCAGTCGCAACCTGGAGGAGGGCGGCGGAGTGGTTGGGGGGCAGAAAGAGATGAAGGGGTGAAAGAAATGGGTTAAAAAGAGATTGAGAGCAAGTGCAAACAAGAAAAACTCAAAAAGCTAATTGTTTCTGAAATAAGAATCAGTTCTTTTGTTTTTAAACATATTTAACGACCCATTTTCAGTGAGTCGGTGTCTTAGTGTGGAAACTCAAAGTTCTAGCACCGTTTCAGGTACAGAACAGGTTTGGTTGGAAAACACCATGAATAATTCAGACAGTAACAGGAAGTGATTATTAATAAAGCACGTGATAATTGTAATTCCTCACAGCGTGACGATGTCTGCGTTGGCAGCCTGAACAGCGATGCTGAGGGGATCGTTACCCTGCTCGTCCACTTCCGTCTGCGATGCTCCTCTCTTCAGAAACAAACACACCTGTCTGTACCACAGAGACAGAAAGGGACAAGAAGCTCATCATTCCAAACACATGGAACAAGCATGGCAACCACTTTGTCTGTGAATATATTTTATCCATCCTCCTTCTTTTAAATGTACCCAAACATTTCATAGCAACTCGCCAAAATGATGCAAGATCATGAGAGACAATGACGAAGCCAACCGACACACTTGTGATTCAGAGTTCAAGTGTGACACACTGACTTTGGTCCTGTTGATGTTTTAGACAGTATTGCCACACTGAAGAGAGATCAAACAGGAAACGTTTGAATCTCATGATGCAAACGTAGAAGAAAAATTTCCACAAAAACAAACACCACGTCATGTGCCACCCATGAATTTTTGAAAACGTTAAGTATTTCCTGAAAGCCATTTTCCTTTAAATCCCAGTCTTCTTATGACACACCCTGGTTGGTGACACATAGGTAGTTATTCCTCTGAAAGCCTCTTACCCAGTGTGGCCCATGTAGGTCGCGTGGTGAAGCGGGCCCCTGCCTCTCATGTCTCTCTGGTTCACATCAGCTCCGTTCTGTAGCAAGAACTCACAAGCGATTAAAGAGCCCTGGAAGAGAATCAGACAGAGACGTCATTCACTTTGTGGAAGATAATCGCTTATTAGCTAACATACACATACCCTGACTGTAAATAGTATTTGATCCCAGAACATAAAAATGGAGGGGAAGTCACACTCTTTGTAACATAGTGAACACATACTGACACAAGGGATTTTTGTCAAAACATGTTTAAATTCAGTTTGTGATCTGCAATAAAGATGATGATAAAAACTGTTACATTTTAACTAAACACAACAGATGTTGAATCATCTTCCATTTAAATCAGTGTCTACTGCAAGGAAGAATGAACAGATGTGACATTAAATCATTCTGGCATGATGCCGACTAAAAATATATTTATGCAGGTTTCTATTTACTCTAAGCCTGCAGACAGACCAAAAAGCCTCTCACCCCGACCACAGCCTGAATGAGGGCCGTTTTTCCCTCCTCTTCTTCGTTGGTAGCGTGCACATCAGCACCGTGCGCCAGTGCCTCTGCCATGAGGGGCAAATTGTGGAGACGAGAGGAGCGATAGAGCAGTGCCCCAGGATGCAACTCCCTGGGATCCTCGGGATCCGAAGACCCCTCCTGTTCGATCTCCACTTCCCCGCTGGAGGACTCCTCCGACTCCTCTTCTGTTAGTGAGCAAACGGATAAAGGCAATTCAAATTTTAGTCTTATGAAACACAAAATAAATGGAGTGTTCAAGCTTCCCTTTATGCTTCTAGATGCTCGAAAAAACAAACAAATTGCTGAGTGTGCAGATTCAGCTCTTTATCAGGTTTATATTTTATCTTCATCTTACTTTTTGCTTTGTTTTTTTTTCTTATGTTTTTTTTTTCTTATTTTGCTCTTTCCATTGGTTTATTGTTTTGTTGTATTTCCTTCTAATTCATGTAAAGCATTTTGAATTGCCTTCAAATGATCCATATAAATGAAATCACCTTATCTTTATCAGTTCTGACTACAAACCAGAAACAACAACAAAAAACTACATATTTTTTCTGACCAGTGAACACAGAATTTGTAAGAACTGCTAGGTAGCTGCAAAACACTAAAAGCTAGTTTAGAATGTCAACTCTGTATTCATTTGCCTTTAACCAATTATTCTCTCACACAAACAGTGTTACCTTCGCTTTGCATATTAGAGAAATAATGAACACCCACAGCAGGAAGGCTAGAAATAGTATCTAAAAATTGATCTTTTAATTATAGGTCTTGTATAGAAATCCTAATCACAGGTGGACTCCTCTTACCTTCCTCCGTCACACTGCCAAACACAAGAATGTCGGTGCTGCCGTCTGTGCTTCCTCCCAGGCCGCTGTCGCTGCTGAGACCTGCAGGGCCAAGCATTGCCAAGCCACGGACACGTTAATCATTACACACGCACAATTCCCATTTCCTAAGCAAACACAAACATCACGCTGGAACCGAATGGCCAAAATCCCTATAGTGAATGGAAGCGAGAAACAGAAATGTTCTTCTCTCTGCGACCTGATCCAAGTTGTGGACTTACTGCGAGGACCAGAGCCGGTGTCAAAGTAGGAAAACAGTGAGTCCAGCTCGTCTGGGCAGAACAGGGAGTCCCGTCGAAATTTTGCTGCGGCGGCTGCAGATAAAAACCCCCCAAACAATTCAAAAATAAACAGATTTTGCTTTATGCTTGTGATCACGGATTTTTTAACCTCTTCACCGACCTGCTGTGAGGTTGGCAGGAGAGGCGCTGCCAGGCTCATAGCGATGGTACTTCCTGCGGGCCTTGTTGGGGGCCCGCACAGAGCTGCTGTGTCGCTGGCATTTCTTCACCATCCAGGGGCGTGACTTCCTCTCTCCCTCCACCAGCGCCTCACTCCCACTCAGCTTCTTCAGGAAGCGCTTCTCAACATACTTAAACTTGATCCAGGCCTCTTTCTCCTGCCTAGAGGGAGACAAGCAAGAATCATCTCAGGCACAGAGTGAAACGACTTCCAATCAAATTTATTTTATATCAAGATGTCATCTTTCCTTGTTCCTTTGACGCACAGAGACAGATTGCTATCATTTGAAATGTATAAAAATAAACAGGAAAAAAAAGTTTTGTGGACTTTTAGTGCTCTACAGTCAGACAAGCAGGACAAAGAGCTGAAAATACTGAAATGTGAACCACTTGCTGTATTTCTACCAATACATAGCATAGATTTTAATGGTATTTTAAACTGGAGTATGGTATGGGAACCTCCTTGGTCGTCCATGACCAACTGTATTGGGTGTTCATTCTAATCTTCTAGTCAAACTTTCTCACTGGAGCTAGCTTTACCTTGAGCTAGACGGTCCCGGTTTTTTAACTCCGAGTTCCTCGCAGGCTCTCTCGTAAATGTTGTTGATCACAGTGTTTCCCAACTCACACATGAGCTGCATGCAAAAAGAGAAAAACACAGGGGCAAAGTTGACAGGAAACACAGACAGGAAATACATTTAAAAGTAGTAATTAAAAATGTAGCAGTGTGGCAACGTGCTGGTGCCAATTAATATTGCAACACCACTGGGAAGAAAGAATGCTGCACGTGCAGAGCGAGCTGTGGGGAAACTGGTGAGAGAGATGCACCTTGAGTAATTCTGGCTCCCACGAGTCCAACGTCAACGAGCGCACTTTAGAGAAATGGACGCCTAAACTCCTGAAAATAGAAAAAGGGAAAGAGATGAAATAAAGCGAATAACGTTTCTTCTTGCTACATTTTTAACTTATCCCACTTTTTTTTTTTTAAACTGTCTGGAGAGGCAGTTTCCTTTGAAGATTGCCGACACTCAGAGAATCTTTGTGAAAATCTCAGTTTTTATATTTAACACGGATGGAAGTGTTTTAAAATGCAGTTATTGCTCCTGAAAACTGCAGCTTGCAACAGTGTGCCCTGGTTCATTATATTTAATAAAAAATATCTGACTAAGTACCATAATACCCCTGTGCTTTTACAAGTGAAATGTTGGTAAATTAAAGTGTTAAGGGATTGACCCTTAAACATTTAGATTTTTATGGAAGGTAAAATAGAGCAGAATCAAACAACACAGGATATCTGCAAAGATAAAAAAAAAAATTTCCATCATGTGATCTAAAAATATTTTCTTCAAAAAGTTTAATGTTGATTGGCTGCCAAGAACAATTCAGAAAAGCAACAACAAACTGGAAAAACTGGTTTGGAGTATGATAAAATGCAAATGCAAGCATCCTCAAACATGCAAATACCTATGGATTCCCGAGCACTCGATGCAAAGCAGCACGCCCAGGTTGATTGATGCCCAGCAAGGAGCCGCCTGGCCGCAGTCGCTGCAGAGCTCGTTGCCTGGCAGGCTCTGCACCCGCTGCAGGAGAGACTCTCCGCCGCTCCGGCACGCCTTGTCCGCCCTCTCCCCCCTGTCCCGGGGCTCGCTGGCAGAGTCAATGCTGCTGGTGGACGGCGAAGCCGTCCGGTCCAAACGCTGCAGAACAAGGTAAATGTTCAGATTTGCTTACATTTCAGAAATGATTTGAAATAAACTGAATATGTTGTATTCGGTTGCTCTCTGATTCCGGACTGTACCTCAATGTAATAGTTGTCGCCGATGTCTTTGTAAGCAGAAGCGATGCTTGCCTGGACCGCCTGGATCCAAGCCTGCCGCAGCTTCTCAGACTCTGCTTGCATCATGCAGCTCCTGCACATGCCAAGTCATAAAACACTCCTGTTTTGATTGCTGTAATTGTTCATTAATAGCTGCTTTAAATTATGACACAGCCTGCTCTGAATCAATTACCTGTAGTAAAGAAATATAAAAAGAAAAATTATATGAGTAAATAGTTTCTGCTTGACTGACAGTGGTTGATACGTTGGCCACAAATATCACCTAATAAAAAATTATTTTTAAGAATCACCTCATTGATAAGGTTGTTTGTTTTGTTTCTCATGAAGCCAACAAAAAAGGAAATCAAAAGTATTAAATGGTAACACTTTGAAGGACCACGTATGAAACTGCCAGGTTTAATGTAAGGTTTATTTACCAAATGACACTTAATGACAACTGTGTAAACACTTTATTCATGACAGGTGTTAATGACGGCGTCATGTCAGTTTTCACATAAAGTGTTACCAAATAATGTATATTCCTGTACACATAAGAATATCCATTTAGCACAGCATGTTGAAGGACATTGATTGCTGAAGGATTAATTGTGTATAGTTCCACTTAGAGACGATACCTTGAAGTTAAAATTCCCAGTTTGAAAGTCTTTCATAAAGCGCAACCTCAAAATCCAAAATGGCCACCATGTTTTTAATCTGTAGCAGAAACTGCAGGAATAAACTGTTTATTGGTGCAGAGTTTGTATCTCACTAAATGAGGCAAATTGAGACACATAGTGCATTATGAAAAGCAAACGACATGTCCCACCGATTTGTTCTTGGTTTACTTCTAAAACTTCACATCATGCTGTTCTCCCACATTACATTTCTTTCTGATGTAATAATTGGAACGCATATTGTTTTGGGTCTTTGTGCGTATTAGCATCAAAGTTAATTAGCTATATCTTAATGGAAACAACAAGAAGAAGAAAGGGAATCAAAGCAGCACCAGCTGTGTTTGTACCACAGAGAACTGCTTTTCTTTGACACACACTAACACACTCACTTTGTGGGCGAAACCACCTCAAAGCAGAATCTCCTCTCGTTGTCTTCACATGTTTTGACTGAGCACAGCCTCAGATCCTCAACCACCACCGTCAGAGAATCCTGTTGGTGGAGTAAGAGAGTATCACATAAACCACAGACGACAGAACAGGTTCGACTTCTCAGGCAAGTCAGTGCAGCGATCCTCCATTCCTTGCCAAATGACTAAGAAAAAAGAATTTCTGGAAGCAACTTATTGGTTTTGGTGTACAAGGGAAATAGTTTCTTAAATGAAAGTAATTCAAGAACACAAGCTACTTTTACCTTGAATTTTTTTTGGTAGACCAGCTGGCTGTTTTGGATTGAAAACCACCGCCTGATGAAGGCAAAAATGCAACAAATGTGATTTTTCAATCAAAAAAAAAAAAAAAAAAGATTTTCAAAAGTTATCAGTTTTTCTTTTTAAATATCATTTCACAGTGAAAATTGAACATTCAAAAACCAGGAAGAAAGGACAAGAGCAAAAAGTAAGCATTAAAGAAAAGACAGAAATGAAACAAAAAGAAAATGAAGGAAGACCATAGGTAGAAAGGACACAAATAAGAAAGGACAGAGAAATTTGCTATGTAATAAAGAAAAGAAATTACATAAAGAAGGAAAGACAAAGGGAAGAGAGGGACATAGTATGCACAAAATTAATGGACACAGAAGGGAAAACTAAAGAACACAGGAAGAAAGGAAGGCAGGAAAAAAGGAAGGAAGGAACCAAGGAAGGACACAACATTCAGACAATCTTAAAGTGATGGTTTTTCCTATTCTGTTGTCTTTTTTCATATAGACAAAAAAAATAATTTTCCAAACTATCATAGAACCATGACATGTCATATTGTGTTGTTTAGTTCCTCACCTGTTCCAAGTTTTGAAAGCATTGCTGGCTCTCTTGAACAGATAGCCCTCCATGACGACCCCATTGGGTGCATCCACATTGAATTCAAGCTTGGGATCATCGTAGGAAAAATCCTGCAGATGGAAGATGTGAAAAAAATGTTGAGGTCTGGCTCTGTTTTGATTTGCAAACAGAGACCAGTTAGATTGGTGATCAGTAGTAAAACACTTCCTCAGCCAGGATGTTTAAACCGTGAAAAACTGCAGGTTCAAACTCTCAGATTCACAAGACTTTATTTAATCTGTTTGAATCAAATTACAGCAGATAGCGGCAGCATGGCAAGGATCACATCTGGAGCTCTGCTAAAAAAACATTTGTCTGTCTTTACAAAGGTCTGAGAAACAGATGACAGTTGCTGAGCGCTGTTAAAAAAAATCGCGTTATCATTTTACATAGACTGTGATTATGTTTCACTTTGGTTAGACAGCTTCTGTTCATCAGTAAGGTAACACTGAGCATATGGCAGGTTGGGCACAGACAGACAACCACACACACACACACACACCCAGAAAGACGGACACACACACTCGCATACACACAGTGTCTGCAAAAGTATCAATTCCAGTTGATTGATTTTAATCACCACCAAAAATCAAGGCTCAAATGGGAAAAGTAACATAATATTTGTCGTTTTGTTGAGGCATTTGGAAGTAGGCTGTGCACAATTTTCAATAGCGATTAATGTAGTGTCTCACTAAAGAATTGAACATTTGTCCTGTTACCACAACAAGCTACAATGCATGTTATGGGGGAATTTTATATGATAGAACGGTACATAATTGCTAATTGAATGAAAAATGATACAATACATGGCTTCCAAAATAACTGTGGCATGTCTTGGAATCCAGTGTCCTTCGTTTCGATAGTTCAAAATATAATGCAGCACAACCAAAGGCCTTCAGAAGTCCCTTGATTACAAAAAAAATGTCTGATTTAATCTCAGAAGAACATTCAGATCACCACAGCAGAAAACTAACACTGCACAGCACCCTGAATGCACCATCCGCACAGTGTGAGGCAGCATTATGGTAACTTCTGCTAAATAGAAGAAAGAGAACCTGGTTAAATAATGTTCACCTTCCTGGTGGCTTAAATCAAATCATTTTCAAGGCCTAGCCAAAGTCCAGACCTAAATCCTCACAAACACTTTTCATTCAATATGGCCAGATACAGTGCATTTGTAAAAATAAAAAAAGGCTGCTGGAGAAACACCCCAAAACATTTGCAGCAAAAACTGATTCTACAAAGTAATGTAATGAGTGAAAGATACTGAATATATTTATTTGTTCAACGCTTAGAAAACCATGGACTGTTTTCCTGAGCTTTGTGGATCTACTGTCCTGAAATTTGAAGAAGTTTAAAAGGTACCAACGTATTTGGAAAGCACGGCACATACCGAAAGGCAACTGCAGAGAAAAGTAAAGAAAGGTTTAAGAATACATAAAACTACCATCAAAACATTTTCTCCGGTTCCTATTCATAAGCAGTGGGATGTGCAAAAACAGGACAGAAATTTTTTTTAAATATTAAATTCTCTACCAAGCATATTTGGAAAACTTATTGTGCTTCATCAGGCAGAGCAATTAAAGTGCAACAAACAAAAGCACTAATAGAAAAAATCTGACATTATCCTCACCAGCAAAAAGTCCAGCCTGCCAAATATCTTCATTTTCGTCAAACTGACATCTAGCAACATGATGAGCAACGACAAAATCAGCTAATACAAACAGAGTGACAAATATTAGTGTGTATCCTGAAGGTCCCACTGGTCAGATGAGAGACTGTCAGGCGACAGCAGCACGCCCGTGCCGTTCCTTCACACTGTGCCACCTGCCAGCAGACTAGCAGCCTTCGCCGTGTGGATGTGGAGCGGGAGCTCATTACCATACAGCTGCCACACTCGTGCCCCCCTGACCCCGTCGAGAGAGATCAAACATCTCATTTTACTCGCAGCGGGTAAGAGGAGGGGGAAGCGGGGTGTACTCTGCTGCATGTCCTGTTTCTCTTCTCCGCCCTGCAGCACAATTTAAAGCTCCCCTCTAACCCTCGCAACAATCCCGAGGCCCGGTGTGTTCTGAGGGGAGTTGGCTTTCCATCTGTCTGCAGCTCTGAAAACTGTTCCTGTTAAATCAAGCTGATATTATTGCTCCCCAAGCACCAGGGCAAGACTCCCTCTTCCCACCTTAAATCAGCCGAGACCCTGCGGGAATCTAGAGCGTAAGTGCCTGGAGGGAAGGAGGCTGCAGAGCCAGCGGCCCCACAGAGTGAAATCCATTTTGTTTGCAAAGTCCGGACAGTTTAACAACACTGAGGCTGAGTTATGCATATTGAATGCATCCCCGTAGAATCTTTGATAAGAGTCTACCTTAATTTTGGTACTTAGATACACTGCAAAAACACACAATATTTCAATTTTGATCAGTTTTCAAGTCCAAAATCATAAACACTTTTCATCCAATCTTAAAAGTTCAAGTATAAATATCTCAGTACACTTGAAATAAGAAAACTAAATCACAAGTAACTTTTCAGCATGATATAGGAGCTTATTTAGGTCAATAATTGACGATTCTTTTAACTTATGGGAAAAAGATCTTGTTCTAGGGCAGCATTTTTTCATCAATATTAAAGAATTGTTGACTTAGACAAGCTCTTGTATCTCGCCGGTTACGTGCGAGTTAGTTTGCAGACATATTCGCACAAGAAACTGGACCAAACATACTTGGTAAGGTTTTTTGTTTTTGCAGTGTATAATAAGAATGCGGTGCAGATAACAGGCGTGTCTGCGCAAACGTGAGTAAGAAGCTACAGCTGACATTCATGCCATTTATTACAATGTGGTTAATTAAAAAGCAGCTTCTGCTGTTGTTTTCTAAGGTGTTATGGGAAAGCTGCTGTTTCTGAAGAACCTCTCTTGTCATTCACAATCACATCAACACTAAATCAAATTAGGAAAGTGAAACAGCCGTCCAATTAAATGGCTCCATGAGTTTAAATAGGTGAAAGCAAAAAGGTTGCGTCTCACAGCGATGGTATGGTGTGACAGGATTCAGACAGCTTCAGATTGAAGCTTGAACTGCCACAAACCTTGTCCAGAAGACATTTACTCTTTGGCACGTGAGTGCCGTTTCATATTTTGTGTTTATATCAGTCAACATTTCTCTGATCCAGAATCTTCTACTGGTAAAAAAATGGGGGAGGAAGAAGGGTGAAGAAACAGTTCCTTTTCCTTCACAATAAAGTCCTGCTCATGTATAAACTGGACAGATTTCAACCATGCAAACAGAAATGCATTTTCTGGAAGGAGAAAAGAAAGAAGAAAGGTATAAAGGAAGGAAGGAGGAAAAAAAGGAAAGAAGGAACAAAGAAAGGAAGGAAAGAAGGAATGAGAAAGAAAATAAGAAACAAGAAAGGAAGGGAACTGAGAAAGGAGGGAAGGATATAAGAAAGGAAAGTAAAAATTAACAAAGCAGGGAGGAAAGAAAAGCAAGGATGTAATAAAAAGAAAGATAAGTGAAAGTCAGAAAAAGTAAAAGAGGAAACAAGAAGCCATGAAGGACACAGAGAAGTAAGAAAAGATAGACAACAGCAAGGGACAAAGGAAATCAAAAATAAGAAAGGAAAGGAGTGAGACGAAGGAGGTAGAGATGACGGAAGAAAGTAAGGGCACAAGGATGCAAGGAAGAAAAGAAATCAAGAAAAAAGTACACAATGAAAACAGGAAGGCCACCAGGATTTGAAGCAGAAAAGACACAAAAGGAGGAAAGAAAGAAAAATCCTGAAGGAGGGAAGTGAAAAGGAAGGAAGAAAACAATTATATTTAATTTTTTTTAATCCTCCTCCAGTCTTGGAAAATGCCACAAAACAAAACTTTCATTTTCTCTATTTTCCAGATGGTGTAGAAACATTCACATTTAACTACACTCCCAAACAAATCTCTCATTTTTAAAAAATACTTTTTGTCTAAAGTAACTTCGAGACCTATTATTAAGGAACGTTAGCACATGCTTCATGCTTGTGCTTCAGGCTGCACTGAATTTGCATATTACTGAAGGAAACATGTGCAGAAAGGGGAGACGATCTGTCTGAATGTCTCCTCAGGTTGTTGTGAAAAGCATCTACACATTAATGCCGTTTGGCTTCCACTGACAACATGAAACCTTTACAGAAGCAGCCACTGTAGCGGAGAGGCGCCCCGAGAGGCAACCGAAGACGCCCTCTTCCTCACCGCTTCATTCTTCATCACACTCAGCTGCCGCTGAATCCTAATCTCCCTTTATCTGCTTGTCTTCTGTCTGTACCACTCGGCCTCACATTCAGCGCCCTGCTGCGCCTCACCATGCCATCTGTTGACTTTGGCCGGAGCTGGCAGCGGATGAAGGAGGGAGAGGAGGCAGGCTGGCATCGTGTGCGCTCACATCTCCACAATCACTGGCAACAAATCGACCTTTCTGGCGCCATAATTACCAAACCTGTAGCTTAACTGAGGACAGCATCTCAAATCAGAGCCAGCCCAGATCATCCTAGCTTTGCAAGAGGAAGTTTGCATTTCTTACCTTGCTCTCTTTGTAAAGAGGAAAACAAAGGTTGAAAATATTTATATTTTTATTGTAGCAGCAAGAACTCACAATGAAAAAATTACAAAAATTTAACATATTTATTTGATAAATATTTTCAGTGGGTGTAAAAATCCAAACTGAAAACATTTCATTTACTAACTTTTGGTGCCAGACCAAGTGACTCCCAGAAAAATCATAATTGAATTTGCATGAAAATGTATCAGTTTCTTCTTTATATTTCCTAGGCACTTTTAATAAATCATCCATAGCATTTTTTCATGGCAGTTCTACTTAGGCATTGTTCAAAATGGGAAAGACACGGAAAAAAATGTGTTTCGATCTGCTTGCAATCCCAATCTGAGCCCTAAGAATCCTTTCAAGGCTGTAATTGTCTCTGTCGCTTGTGCATCTTTTTCTTCCACAGCGTTTTCTTCCACTCAAATTATGCTTGGACACAGCACTCTGTGAACAGCTAGCTCATTTAGCAATGACCTTCATTTAGGTCTATACTTCCATTGATTTTTACCCGTCTTATGTGAAATTAAGCTTTGGGTTTCGATTAGCTGTAATCAATAATCATTGAACTTAAAATGAAATGCTTGAAATATATAATTTTTAACTGCTAAACTTTTGGGAACTATATTGAGAGATATTCTAATTTATTGCTATGCAAATAAGGGGATTGTTTACATTTTCTTTCATTTGGTGAGAGACAATGTTATCTGAAAGGACCAAAATAATCACCCATGACCAAGAACACAAGCTGGAACAAAATAAGAGCTAAAAGGTGCTGGACACTTTCATTTTCATCTAGATTTACAGATATTAGCCACAAACCGGTTAAAGTAGACATCCTCACTGTTCAGGCCGAACCAGAACGCTTTTATTAAATGTAAAAGTTTCTAATTGGAGCTTTATTGAGGTAAGGTTACACACTCACCTGCATCAGAGTCTGGAGGTGTAAGAACAAGGCCGCACATTAGCATGGAGAAGAAAAATGGAGAATAATAAAATATTAGTGTTTAAACTGAATTCATTGAGTAATATACAGTGTAACACAGGTTTTCAGACAACTAGCATTTTTTTTTTTGTCTATCCAGGAAACAGCTTTTAAAATTCCTGGATGGACTGTTTGTTTCTTGTTTTTTTTTTGGCATATTTCATCAAGCCAAAAGTATGCATAGAAAGCTGAAGTGAGTCAGAAAATTATCAGATTAAAGAGAAAAGGTTGCTGAAAGGCCAGCAGGGCACGAGGCTGTTTGTCAAGTCTGGCAGGATGCCTTCACTGGGCCAGTGCATCGATCACAGGGAAGGGCCAAGCCAGGCAGAAAAACAGGCATGTAGTTGGCATCGTCTTCCCTAACAGATGGATGGTTTTTTGTTCATCTGTGCATGAATGTGAATGTTGAATGTGGAGCAGGAGCCAGAATGGGCTAAAGGAACTACTTTTCACTCACTCGAGAGATTTTAGAGCAGAAATGTTTACTTTTCTTTTCAACTGTGATCTTTTACTTTGAACTTTGAAGGCCAAAAAACATCTTGCATTCATTTCAATGGTTCACTGAAATCAGGAAGAAAAAAACATAATGCATGATAATAATACCTTGAAGTTTCTCTAAAAGGCTAAACAAAAGCTTTGATGCCAGTTGAAGATGAGTCTTTTGTTATCTTTTCAAGACTGCTTTGTGTTTTCAACTGAATGCATCATAAATCAACAAGCTTCGAAATAAGGAAAGACTTAAAAAAGATAAAACCAACAAAGAACTAACTCTGCAAGTGAACAAAATCTCGAACAAACTTCCAGAAAACTGTAAAACAGCAGCAACCTTGACTTCCTTTAAATCTCAAATAAAAACACACCTGTTTAGAATTGTATTTGAAATGTAATATGCAACAATGTATTGTTTATTCTATGATGCATGACTTTGTGTTTTTGTGTTTATGATGTAAAGCACTTTGAAATGCCTTGCTGCTGAAACGTGCCATACAAATAAAATTTGATTGATTGATTGACTGAAGTGAACCGCTGACAAGGCGACAACTGAGATCACGCAAAAAAAAATTGCTGAAGATATTTCTGTTTCACTTCAGATGTTTGGAGGAGGAAAACAAACGTGATGCTAAAAAAAGATGAAATATCAGGGCGTGAGCTGGAAAATGAGAGCGGTGTTGTTTTCTCACCCTCTGCTGGATGAGAGCGTGTTTGTGCTCCAGCTCCCTCTTCTCCATGGCAGAGTCGATCACCAGCTGGTCCAACTGAAACGTAAAGCAGAAGCTGTCAGAGTACGACTCACATCTCTTTTTAATTTAGTTTTTTACATCTTTCATCTACAGAGCCCAAGTATCAGTTTAACTGAAGAATTTTGTGATTTACCAAAACAAAGGCAGATATGCTTTATTTGGATTCTGTGTGGCAGACAAACACAATAAGTGCATAACTGTAAATGGGGAGGAGAAGTGTGATGATGTTCGACACGTTTAACAATGAACACATGAGAAAAGTGTGGTAGTTCATCTAAGTTTTGTTCAGATCGGAACTTTGACTAGGCCATTCGTACGTACGTAAATATCCATGTGATTCCTCTCTCGGTCTGGCTGTATGTTTGTGATTGTTGTCCTATGTGGGGAAGCTTGTATAAAACCAACACAAAACTTGTCTACGTTTTCAGAAGAAAGCATGATGCCACCCACATGCTTTACCGTGAAGATGTTTGTGGATTATTGTCCATATTTTTACTTGTAAATAATAAAAATATATATTTTTTAAAAATCACATGCTTTTTCTCCCCACTTCACAATAATTCACTGCTGTGCTTTGGACCACAATTCCAACAGAATACGTACATTGAAAGTTGAGAGTAATAGTACTGCATACCTGTGCAGCCAGCTTTTTCATGTAGGGGTCAATCTCATCTAAAATGTTGAAGCCTTGCTTGAACAAAGTATACTGGGCTCGCATGAAGGACAGCATCTTAAGGAAGCAGGCAGGGGAAGAAAATAAAACAGTCGCCATAAAACAGTCGCCAAATGATGTTCAAAACCAGAGAAGGGACACCCACTGATCGTCTGCAGATGTTTCAGAGTGTGAGTTGCTTACTGCGTCAAGGATTTCAAACTTCTTCTTAGCTTGAAGGACATTAATCTGCACAAAAGCAACAGCAACAAAAAGCAGATTTAGATTCTAATCTGAGAACAACACAGGTGATCTGATCTGATCCATTGTGCCAGACACACAAGCCTCAGCAGCCATGGTGTGAGAGTGCCACCTACTGGACAATACTGAAAACATAACCCGCAGTGTCTCACCTGCAGCACATAGTCCAGGGCGAGGTGCCTGAAGGCTTTGCGGCTGAGGATGAGAGCCTGCGTGGCCTCCTCTGCTTCGTGCACCTTGTTCCTCGGTGCCTGAGCGTTCTTCACTTGAGCCAGCTCCATGTCCTCGCGCACGCGGTCAAACTGCTTCTTGGTGTCCTTGAACTTACGGATATCCCTGAAGCAGACGCAGCACAAACATCCCAGATACAATTTTAAAACTATAGACACTGCATCAAAAACAGAGTAGCTTTACTGACCAAGTTCGTTTGCACAAATAAGGAATTTGACTTTGATTCAAAAGCACTAATAGATAACTAATTGTTGTGAGGAGTTAAAACTGTATAAAAAGTGAAGGTAGGTTCTTGCCATTGAAAGGAATTTAAATATTGCTCCTCTATTTCTGTAGTTTGGTTTTGTTTTTTTTAAACTTGTGTGTGGAAAAGTTAAAATGACCAAAATAAATACATGATACAATTTAAAACCTTTTATTGTTTTACTTGCACTGCACAATTAGACACTTCTTTGTCTTGCTCTGTTACATAAAATCCCAGGAAAATGTGAAATGTTTCTGGCTTTAATGTGATGAAACGTGAGAAATTTTCAAACAATCTTGAACAAAGTGTCTCCACAAGGAAACAGCTGAGATACTCACTCCTTAATGAAGGTATGAAGCTGCTGTTTGATCGACCTCTGAGCCTGGTCAAACAAAATCTATACGCAGACAAACACAAACACAACGAGTCACATTAAAGCAGCAAATAAATATCCCACTTCATGTAGAGATTGATGATTACTGCACATGAATTTGTAGCAGCTAGGTGTTACCACAAGATGGCACTAGAAACCCTTTGAGAGTAGAAGACGCCACGGGATGAGGATGAGGAAGGAGAGGCAGGACACATGTGCACAGATTCGGCTGCTGCATCAACAGATTTCTGGCCTCACATTTCCCTTCCTGTTAACCTTCGGATTTTCATGTCTCCTCCCACTGTGCTTTCTTCTTTTCCTTTTGTTTTCTTTCCATCTTGGGAAAAACTATTTTCCCTCAATTACTATTTGTTTCATGTGCAATAAAGCACCCAGCGGGTGATGGTGGACAAACAATGTAGTGGTATAGAAATAGGATTTGAATGAAATTGTGATTGCATCATAATCACACACAACAATCAACAATCAATTCTTTTGGGCTGGGATTAAATCTTATAGAGAGAACCATTATTTAGTCTGGACATACGCATTGCAGATTACAGGCTTAGTTTATGTGTAAGCCTCCATCACCATAATGACCCCTCAGCACCCGATGACATCAGGGAATCAGGATGTGCAACATAAATAGGTTTCTGGATGTGAGAGGTCATGCATTTGCAAATAGGGTCTCTTTACCTCTTTGTGGAAATACAAAAAAAAAAAAACATAATTTCCCTCCAAAGTGAATTTCTGCCAATTCACAGTTACTTCCTACATATTGATCACCATATGACATTTTCTAGCCAGGAGAAATGTTGAAAAACAAATATTGGGATGACGGTGATAGCCACAATGCAAAAGGAACAAAAGAGACTAATCATCTTTGTGGTCTTAAGGAAACTCAGTGAAGCTGATTGGGGGGGAAGCTTCAATTTACAAGATCTGTGATATAAAATTTAAACATCATGGCCTGCCTCTTCATCTGTTCAATCCTGGCTCTGTATTTCGAAACATTTGTTGAACAAGATGTACAAAGAGACAAACTGTGAAAAGCAGCAAAAGGACAGATTTATTGTCTCTCTGTCCTTCAGTCTCACTCTACCATGACTCCATTAATGAAGAAGAGGTGTTAGGCCGGAGGACTGGGACACATTTACTGAAGAGTAATGTGAGAAAGTCATTAAAGGGAAAGAGAAAAACAAGAGCTGGGAAGAGGATCAATTAAAAACTAATGCCATCTATGCAAAATCTTTGTTTTCTGAAAGTGGTTTGTAAGACTGCAGCCAGGCAGCACAGTGCACACCTGAAGAGCAGAATGAATAAAAGATGATTGAACTGGACTTATGAATAAAAAAAAACCCCACAGAAAAGCTCATCAGCCTGATGGAGTTGATCAGTTCGACAGTTTGATCCGAAAAAGTCATGCCTTAAAAACCCAGAGAAGAAGAGATATGAATAAAGATTACATGGATAGAGACAGACAAATTACAGAGAAATAAGAAGGGATCAACAGCTTAATTTGTACATCATGTTGTGCATATGATTTACTGAACACAGCTGGAAGGTATTCGCTCAGTGAGAAATTGTTCTTGTGAAAGCCCCTAACTGATTTAACAAGTATGCAACAAAGAGTAGCTGTTTGATCTGCTCTTTATTCCCTTTTGTGCCCTGCAAAACCAAAAGTTTTAAGTGGAAATGCCACTCAAAACTGAAACCACAAAGGGAAATGACAGATTAAATACAAAGTGATACAACTAGACTGGAATGTCATTCAGATTTAGAGAGGCGTAGTTTTGTATGAGGTCAAAGAATGATGCTGGAGTTAGAAGAGGGAAGGATGGGGTTGCTTTTTGTGGTTTCTGGTCTAACAACATCACAAGAGCCTCCAGTGCAGCAACACGAACATCCGACAAGGCAGAGTAGGAATGTACCAACACGGCTTATCCAAGCTCTGTACGTCTGAAATGTGGTTCTGTTCGTTCAACTTGATTTCACAGCAGAGAACCTATTATGACTTCTAGGGGTCAACCTTCACTAAACGTTTTAGTTCCATCCAATGCTGCTTACCTACGCATGCATGGACTGAACATGCAAACTCTATGCAGAAAGACTCCCAGCAGGTGTTTGAACCCAGGACCTGTGCCACCGTTCAGCTGAGTTATTACTTTAATCTTCAAATACATGCAAATAACTTTCCTCTGCTTTGTTTAGCAAATAATGTCATACGAAGACTAACCAGTACTAACATCCTCAGGAAGGAACTTTAAACATCCTAGTACTGAAATAATTAAAAGAAAAATTTTAAAGTAATTTTCCAGTTACTTTGTAATTACCTAGTAACTTTGTAGAAAGTTATGCGATTTGCATTCTTCCAAAAAGAGTTTTCGGTGCTGTCTGGTCATCAACAATTCCCTGATTGCACAATAAAGGAAATGTACTTTTCCTATCTTTGGAGAGGAGATCGGTCTTTGACCCTGCAAGGCAATCAGACCCCTCATACTGTGAGCTTATTTTGTCTTTACAAGCTTGAAAAAAAGGAAGCAGAAAGCCATGTTTATGTTTATGTTGAGATCCCAACATGATGCTCTGAAAGAGTTTTTGAAATGTCACAATATCAAAGTCTGATTCATCTCAGCAGATTCCAATGACACAGAGTCATAAAGAAGAACCACTCTGGTGTCAAGCAGGTAAAACTGTGATTTCTGTTAAACGTGCACACAAGACCCAACAAAATATAAAGAAGTGGGAGTCTGATTGTGTGTGATGCTTGCGTGTTGAGCCCTAAAGGGGAGCCGGATTACAGAAAGATGCTGGAAAGATTCGGGCATGTGGGGGCACCTCTCCTCCCCCTCTCGCCTGTGGCAACAGCGGTGTGGGGTTTCTGTGTGTGTGTGTGTGTGTGTGTGTGTGTGTGTGTGTGTGTGTAAAACTGTCTTACCGTTTGATAGTTGACAATCTCCTGGAGGCTTTCTCCACACTTTTCAAGGCATTCCTGCAATATTGCCAACACACAAATGTGATTATGCTTCCTTTTCTGTGAACAGCAATGTTTTCACAATATATTTTATATCTGCTCTTTGGACAAGTCGGTGCTAACACTCAGTGATTCAAGGTTTTTTTTTTTTTATCTCCCTGAGGATCACTTAGCTGACATGAGAAGCAGCCTGAGTGTTTTAATTTAAAAAAAAGCAACAGGATTTGTGTAAACATCTGTGTCTGTCTGTGGCCACTTCTTTCATCACCAGAACAGCTGGATACGTCCAAGTCTGGACAAAAGTGTTTATCCAACCTTACAATCATTTTTAATGTTGAGGAATCTCAGGAATGCACTTCCAGAGACAGATGGCTGCTCGTCCATTGGGGAAAACTCTCAGATTTTTTTTTTGTTGTTGTTTTTGTCAGCTTCTACTCACCGATATCATCTCCTCCTTCTTGCACTGGTGGGACAGATCTCTGATGCCGTTCACAAAGAGTTTATTGGCGCTGACATAGACCCTGCCGGCCTCGATCATCCCGCTGCACAGCTTCACCAGCTAGCATGATAAAAGGAAAAGAAAGCATCAGTGCAACGGCCTGTTTAATTAATCACATGTTTCAAACAATGTGCTCCGAGGGTAATAATTGCCACGGTGATGATGTAAATCAGACGAGGCCTGAAAGAATCACTCATCACATGAGAGGATGCTCATATGAAAGAAGAATCGCCCTCTTTGCTTGTGAGCTGTTAAACACTAGTGAAATTATAGTGAGAATATTTAAATAAAGGCACAAATTAAACAGACCAAAAGGATGAAATGATCAGAAGACAAAAGCTACACGACAAACCATCAACACTCACATCATAAGTCACAAATCTCTAAACAATAATTAAGATAAAATGAATACATTTTTAAATACAAATGCATTTTCATATTCTTATTTGTGATTTTCAATATGCAGTTTGTGGCATATTGATTGAAAAAGCATCCCTTAACCTTAATTGTGGCCCTTTTTAAAGTTTCAGCGTATTGATCAGAGGAAGCAGTGATGGCATGAAGTTTAAGCTTTATTTTTTTTTACTCTAATGCCAAGATTGTTAATTGTTCCCAACAAGGCTTTTGTAGTTTCTCTTATATAAATCTTTAAAATTCATATTACAGCTACCATACTTTAAAAAAGCATTTCACATTTTGCTACTTTACATTCACAGTTTTGCGACAGACAAAAAGAAAAGTTAACAGACAGTTAAAGTACTAGAAGGAAACTGATACATGACTGAATTTATCTTTACAAATAAAAATCTGAAAAGTGCATTTTTCAAAAATACTACAGAACTAAATCTTACTGCAGCTACAAGTTAGGGAGCGACATATTTGTTCTTGTTCATTTTTTTCTGCAAATCATTTTTAGCTCAGTCAGATCGGTCAGAAAGCATCAGATTAATTCTTAAGTCTCTATGGATTCTCAACTGGATTAAAGTCTAAACTTTGAGTGGGCCGTGACAAAACCCATAAATACACTTTGAGCTAAGTCATTTCAGTGAAGCCCTGACTGTGTGTTTTGGGCTGCTGGAAGGTGAACCTCATATTCGTCTTTTGCAGCTGGTAAAGGCTTTTCTTACAGAAGCTTCACTATCAATGCTGAAGAAAAGCAAGCGGCAGCACAATGCTGCCACCACCCTGTGTTAAGAAACATTTTGCATGTCAGCAAAAAAAGTTCAATCTGGTCCCGTTTGACCTGGGCAACTTCTTCCACGTTTGCCGTGTTTTCTATGTTGCTTGAGGAAAATTGCAAACAGCACATGTCATGGCTTTGTCCTTGCCACTCTTCCATTAAGGTCAGATTTCTGATCCATGGTTAATGTTTGTCCTGTCTACAGACTCTTGATGATCATGTCTCTGTGCTATTCTTCTTCCATTCATAAATTATGGATTTCCGTGAGAAATTTAACAACTGGTAGCCTGCAGTCCCATGACACAGGTTGTGCTCATGGTTGCAGGACATCTGGCAGATTACGTGGAGTCTCATGAAAGTTGAGCATTGAGGACATACTGTATGATCTGTCGGTATCATGGGAGAAAATAGATTTTTAGATAATGAAACTGGAATAAAAGCCACTGTGTGTTTTCTAAAAAGGTTTCTATTGGCATTTATTCAGCTGTATATGGAAAGGAGGAGTGAAAGAGTTGATATGCAGCAAATAGTCCTGGGCCGGGAATCGAACCAGGGACCACTGTCTTTAGCCTCAGTACATGATGCGTCTGCTTGAGCCATGTGGCGCCCAACCACAGCATGTTTTATGATAAACAATACATGAAAAAATATGTTTCTGGAATCAGGGTAAACTCCAAGCAAAACAGAGTTAATCATTTTCAGTTTGTTGTTTCATACACTCCAATTTTCTTTCTCTCTCTAGTGTAACAATGAAATGCAACATTAATTAAAAATTATTCTGGATGATAATTAAAATTTTAAAAAAGACATATGCAAACAACTACACTTAAGAGCAAGCCAAAGTAGGTTTAGCAACGTCTTCTGGCTCTGCCAGCAGACAAGTTTCATACAAATGTAACAAAAAGTATAAAGTTGGAAAGCAAACATTGATGTGATTTACTGCTATGCCTAAATAGCTTGTTTCGTATAACAAGAAGCAGACACGATGGTAGCTTCCCGTTTAACCCCCACATGAGGAAGCTAGTACTACACCTCCCCACTTAGGAGGTAACATGATAAGCTCCACGGTGGTAAGTTGTCATTAGCAGCACACTGATGCAGCTGTGCATAAAACAGCATCAGAGCATTTTGAGAACGAGAGAGTCTGTTGATGCATGGAGGGCGTGCAGTAAACCTTTAATTATCTCATTTAGAGCAGAAGTTCCCAAGGCTGAAGCTATACGAGTGTGGTTTTCTAGGAGGCTGGCACTGCCGTCAGTAATGCATGCACACCGGCTGTGTGAATGATTGCTGCTAAAATGAGCTGCTGGAATGAATGTGTGTGTTTCTGTCATGTAACGAGTGCACCCTTGTGTAGAAAAGTCACTGTCTAAAATCTGCATTTAAATTCCCGTGTGCAGAGCTGAGAGTTTTTCTGAAGCAGCAGAAAATGTGGAGGATCGTGGCACATGTCGACCCCTCCAGGCCTGCAGTGTATGTAAACACATTAACATATATGTGAATCTGATCTAATTTTGTGGTGTACCAATCCTCCAGCCTGTGAGCAAGGTCATTAGATGTACAGTAAATGTGTTTGGAGGACCAAAATAGGCAGAGCAATGCAAAATCTCTGCGGAGGAGGAAGCGTTTGAATTGGCAGTGCAAAGATTTTGCCTTGTTAAAGATATGATGTAGCAGTTTCAAGGATTTTTTTGGTTGTTTTTGATACGGAAACCAATTCATATCTCAGTGCAAGTCCTCAGTTTAATCTATTTTTTGGTCATTGCAAAACACTTTTTTTTGGCACTTTCTTAGGAATTATCAGATTTTCTGAATCTTAGCAACAATATCCACTAAAACCCATTAGAGCTGTCAAAGCAGCGCAGCAACATGGGCTGGCTGAACAAGCAGGCAAATCACCTTGACTCAAAACCTCTTCAATCTCTCTACTCTGACCTTTTTTCATCTTTCAGTGGAGCTTAGTCAGGGATCAGAGTTCAGCGGGCGGTCCTGACCTGTCGGCTGGAGGAATAATCCATCAAAGTGCTTCTATTTTCTTTATGGGGTAGTTAATTCAAAATGTTAGATTATGAACCTAAATTCTGATGTGCAATAACTATCTAAGCAGGATAAGCTTAGGTAGGATGCTGTCCAAATGTTCGCCACAATAGTCAGTTAGTAAATTTTTATTTATTTATTTTCTTTCGCCTTAATTCAAATCTGTTTTGATTTCCCAGGCTTGTGGTCTGAATCAAGTTAAAACAAAAATGTGGTTGCTGTTTGCAATACAAACACTCAAAATATCATACCTTACTGACAATCCCCTACAAATATGTTGTTTCTAGGGAACTACATTTTAATGCTACCCTAAACTTGTTGCATCATTGCTTTTGGGAAGCATCTTTTATCCTGATTACAGGCAGCACTTCATACTACGGAACATAAAGCTTCCTCTGTGGCTTTAATCGCTGTTTGTTCTTGGTGTTTGCACTGTGTACAAGGTTCTGTGTGTGTGCCTTCGTGTGTAGGATGTGGAAGACAGAAACATCCTCACACGGAGACAAAATGTTTTCAGTTCAGTGGTTCGTACCTTGTCTAGCTTCGCCTCGATTTCCACCACGTCTGTCTCCACATCATCGATTCCGGCCCTGCAGGGGGAAGACACAAAGACGCTCGGTTAATCAGATCTGCTTTCTCTCTCATGCCACTTCTGACAAAAGGATAACCTGACAGACAGACAGACAGACAGACAGACAGACAGACAGACAGACAGACAGACAGACAGACAGACAGACAGACAGACAGACAGACAGACAGACAGACAGACAGACAGACAGACAGACAGACAGACAGAGGCAGCAATAGATTATTTGGGAAAGCTTCTTGGAAAAGCAGCAAAACACAATGTTTCGTATTGTTCCAATTACTCGTAGTTTCTTGGAAAAGTATTGGCACCAACTTTCAAATTTTGTAGGATTGTGTGTGAAAGATCTTTCCAACAACACCTGTTTTTGGAACATCACTTTTCAGATTCTTAATCAGATTAAATGTTGTACTTTAAGCCTTTCTAACACATGAATACTCTTTAATCAAACTATTCAATTGTTACTTTATGTTTAATATTGTTGTCATCAAGCTCAACCAAATATTCTGTAGGATGTTATTGGATTAAGCGCCATCAAGATACAAACATGCCAAATTTAATAGATTCTGATTTTACAAATTTGAATTATGTATCATTTTCCTTCCATTACAATACTCCGTGTTGGTTAATTACATAAAATCCCAATAAAACGCAATGCAGATTCTCACAGAAACCTGAAAAAATATTAAAGAGTGCAACAGATGTGAAGATGCTGCAAGGGACTGTACATAGAAGTATAGAAAAGTTTTCAAACTTTGTGTCTTTGGAACAGGAAAGAAACAGAATGCTGTTGTGCACTGTAATGCAACACTGTGTACTCAGAGCTGCCATCGCATCAACATCTGTGGTTTAGCCTCCTGCACATTAAGCTGCAATCAGCCACCAGACATCGCAGCCTCTCAGGTTTGAGCATTAATCCTGATGTTTAGATCGACAGCGGCATCACTCTGGAAGATTAGTGGCCACAGCAGAGCAGTAAAGGAAAATACAAAAATCAATGAATGACATCATGCAGAAGCGTCTGCACTGATAAAGCTAATAAAGCACTCAGCAGCAACACAGACGAATTCATCGTCACCTTCAGACATTTCGCAGAATTTAATAAAAATTACGGTAAGTACCTTTTAAATTACTGTTAGTTTTCATTTCTCTGTGTTTTCAGTCTGAGGGTAATGAGACTTGAAGGCCTTCAGCAGGAGTGTGTCAGGTGGTTTTGGAGGGCGATCAGCCTTAGCCATCCCTCCCCTCAGGGTCTTCTTCCATTAGTGCAGAAGTACACAAACACACACACACTCATCCATGACCACACACACGCAGGGTCAGCTGTTATGGCAACCTCTTTCTAAGTGGGTCACAGAGGCTGCTCATGAGGTCGTCTTTCTAAATCAAATTTTCATTCTTATTTGTCTGACGCCACTCTACGTTTCCTCGGAAAAGCAAAACAAGGTTCCAAAGTAATCCCGTGGAGGAAAATACCGCAGAACCACTTCTATTTATTCCTAATTAATCATCTATGTCATGGCTGGTGCAGATAGTGTTCTGTACAACTTGAAAACCTACACAGGGCAAGTCGTGCCACCACCAAATCTACCAGAAATGGGAGCTGGTGGAAATGTTGTCCTTTGTTCAGCTCAAATTCTACCAAGGTTAAAAAAAAGAACCTGCAGGCCTAACTATAGGCCTGCAGATTTTATGATTGATATGTAATTGGGAACCACTACACTCCCAAAAACTGTGGGAAAATATTTTTTCCCCTAAAAAATAAAAAGTCATGCCATAGAGGGTTAAATTAATATAACTCATGCCAGCATTTCCATTCTTCAATTTCAGTTGTTCCTGCCAAGGAATCACCATCACACCCCTAAATCTGTTGTAACTTGCCAACCATATACCTCGAGGAGTCGCTGATCTCATCATCCAGTCCCAGCCCCACCCTGATCCCAACTCGTTTACAGCTGATCCCGTGCGTCAGCTGTAAAAATGTGGTCTACAAATGGGGAAAGATACGGCCAATAGCACCTGCCAACCTGGTTTATTTTCCAAAGGTCATAACTCTGCTGTTGCCATTTTTACCCAGCAGCAGGGTGAAGGGTGACGTGGGAGGAGCTGCTGGAGATCTGTTCTCACCTGCTCCCCAGAACGGCATTCCTGAAATGCTTATAAGCTCCAGTGGTTCAATGTAAGGCAAAGAAAAGCTCATTTTTGACTTTTTATGACTTCCTGAGTTCTTTGCCACTCAAGACAATGTGTTGATTGTATAGACGTTTCCTTTTAGTGTCACAACATGGTATGTAAATTATTTTGAAGAACAACAGAAGATAAAACACAACAGTGACCCGTCTGTGGATCTGCCACAGGATTTGCAGGTTCCCACTGATCCGCACTAACATTTTTTTCTCTTATTCATGTTCACAGCAATGTTGTATATCCACGAGTCTTTCTCAACCACACCCACCCCACCTAAATATGACAACAGCATAATGAAACTCCTGAAATTCCTTGACAGCTTCATTATTTAGTTCTGGTGCACCAACCACAGCTTTTGGGATCAATTTCAGATCTACCAACTTTACCAAGCTGTGCTTTGCTCCCGATCTCTGTAGCAGCTCCTCCTCTTCGCAGTTAAATTACTCAGAACTCAATACCGTCCCATCAAGTGGCTGTTCAATCTCGGGTACAGGCCCATTACAAGCTTGCAATGTCTCAGGCAGCATAGACTGCCAATAAACACAGACAAAGATTTGATGACAAGGATTGCAGACAACACTTGATGCAGCTGCAGCCAAAACAGTATTGATCTGAGCTTTTAGCTTCAGCACAAGATGACTGCGCTACTTGTGCTTTTTGTAGATAGGTTACAGACTTCAGTGTTTCTTGAAAGATTAGAAACGTCCACAGCGGCACTGCTGCAGACCTACAAGATGCACAAGATGCTTGTCCTCATTTGGTATTTTAATAAATGAGATGCTTTATAAATTTTTCCACTAATAGAGTGAGATTAAAGTGAAAAGGAATTAAACTCAATCTTAAAAAGAGGGTTACGGGTCATAATAACATGCTTCCTGTGACTTTGGCTTTAAACACTGAACAAGTGGCTCAAAGCAGCTCTAAGGGTGATGAGGGATGATGATGCTGGCCACTCACAGAGGGGGGATGGGCCCAAATGCACCACCAGTGTTAGCGTAGTGTACGTCGTCTGAGGTCTGACATCGCTAATGTGGAGGGGGGAAGGGAAGCCACACGTGCACCGGCTACACGTGTCCCCCGTCCCTTCAGCACACACAACCTCTGTCCACAACAGAGAAGCGAGTCCATGGCTCTCCTCCACTCAGATGATGAACTGTAGCATGAGATGCAAGACAGTTTTTGTCTTGCATCTCTTCACACACATGAAAACATAGAGCAAATCTGAACGTTAAGTGTCTCCAACATTGAATCTGCCATCACTTCAAGCACAATGGCAAAAAAGATGGGAATGTTCTTGATCCTAACTCTATGCAGGAGACATAAAAAGCCATTCTGACAGATCAATGTCTATTTGTATTAGGATGAGAGGTGACGTCCCTTTGTGTGCATTAGAAAGCAAGCAGCCAGTGTTATACAGGCTTGTGGTTCATTAATATTTAAAAAATAAAGACAACAAAATCATAAAGGTGATACTTGGAAGTCATTTTTTTTCTCAGAAGAAAAATTTTAATAACAGAAGTTAGAATCAATTTTACACGAAATGAGGAAAGCATTTCCTCATTTCCAATAAATCCACATTGTGCTCTTACTTCTGTTTTTCATCTGTAATAAGAATCCACCTCCATCATCTGTATCAGCTTCAAACATCAGAGACTCCATCCAGAAGACTGACTATTTCATTGACATGTAAAATGAGAATTCCTGACACTTGGAATAGCATTGTTCAAGAAATATTGTATGTTAAATAATAATTTGGGATTGTAATTTTGAGCACAATGACAATGACAATATTTTTGAGCATCTTTTCTCATGTGAAGACAAAACTGTCACACATGGGCCTGAGCATTTAAAAATAAAAATCAAACCAAAACGTGTACGACAAACCAGAAACCTAAAAAGCATCTGGTTATGCCAGAAATATCTAAGCCTTTGCAGACAAAAGTCAGAAAAGTAAAAAAAAAAAAAAAAAACATCTAAATTTTGCCCCGTATAGCTGTTCTAGCTCTTCACTAAATAATGAGAATATTCACGTTTTAAAAAGTGCCAGCAATCTGCTCGAGTGTTTCTTCTTGAGCAACAAATTTCGGGTCAAGAAAAAAAAAAAACTAAACAAAAAATAAATAAATAAATAAAAAATCAAAGACAAGCAATTGACTTTGCCTGTCAATTCCAGTTTCAGTCCTCTCAACATGCGTGCTTAATTTTTCTCAGCAGCAGGTTCAAATGTTAATTACCGCAGCGCCTCTGGGAGCCTGCCCACCAGACATGGCAAAGATACATTTGCAAGCCATCTCAGATGTTGACATGCATTATTTTTCTCAACCTTCATTTAATCGGTCCTGTTGTCAACATCGAGGGCATCATTAAGCAACTCAGCAATATTCTGAGGCTCATTCGCATCGGGTCTAAAGTTTAAAGTACTTTGTTTGATTCTGTTCATATGTCGTCACTTAAATAACTCTGGTGTGAGATCTATCACCTTGTAGTGCTCAATAAGATTATTTATTTTGACAATGAAATTTAATGCACACGAGTACTTCAGTCAATAATGTAAATATGCCACAAAAGTTATTTTTTATTTGCTGCTCCAGGCTTGTTATTGGATTAAAACGAGACTAAAACATAAATCACGTGATTGTTAAGCACAATAAGAACTAATAAAAAAAGTAAGAATCAGAGATTAAATGCAAAACATCCGGTCAGCCTTGTGGCTGGATCCTATTGGATGGAGTCTCTTTGTCTTCCAGACTGAAAATGAAGACTGATACTGATATCCCACCAAATTATCAACAGTGGTTCGTTCTGCTTCCTGCAGAC